TTTATCTCCCTGACTTCAAGAGCCTGGGGTCGCGTTGTCCCGAGCGGCCAATCGGGCGCCTACCTGTGATTACAGCCCGCTTTTTTCCCCTTACATTGAGCATTGCGGCAAGTGCTTCTGCAACCCCTTGTCCGTCTGTCCATACTCCTGAATTTAAAACTCACCCTTGTTAATCCGGAATGACGCCCGACTGGCGAACACACACCCTGCGAGTGTGTATTCGGTATGGGGGTTGGGGGAGGTCGTGGCGCTGCGATTCCCTGATCTCATGGTCTGCCCTTCTCGTTTAATATTCTACCCCAGCCACTCCCGATATCATGAATGACTAATTGCTGCTGGCTCGGTAAACCTTTTGCGCCCATACAATATTAAGCCAACTCAGGAACACCACAATGTAACCTGTCCTGCGAGGGTTTGTCAATCTCCTGGCACCGGGAAACCGTGGGACTTTCCTCCTAGGGACCCTTCAGATTAACACCCGTTGTGCCAGGCGATCCCCCTTCAGGAGACTATGTGTATGCGCTGCGTGTGTCTGCTCAGTGTGGGGACCAGGGGAGGGGGGGGGGTTGCAGTGCTTGCAGAGTTGCTTCGAGGCCATGGCACCACAGCAGCTGTTGTCATTGTATGTCAGTGTGTGTAAAGTATGTGCACATGTATATTCATGCATGTGTAGTGAGTCACTTCGGAGACATTATTTAGAAGGCAACAACGTTTATTCTATACGACGTAACACCGTTACACACGCGACTACAATACACCTAACTCTTACACTCGTTACACACGGGACTATAACACGCCTATCTCTTGCGCACACGGGTAACTATAACCGGGTCAGAACAGCCAACGTGCTGCCTGATCCACGATGTCAGAGATGGAGACGAAGAAATTGCACTTGGGTTCCAATTCACCTACAGACAGCCCCGATATTCGATCGGAGCTTCCCTTTTATCCCCTCTCAGCGCGGCCTGGCTCCACCCTCGGCCACGCCTCCCTCCGGAACATTCCCAACGGCTCCAGACTACCTTGCACCTCCCACCTGCCCGGCACCGCCCTTAGCCACGCCCCCTTCGGGAACTCTCTAGACGATTCCTGGCTACACTTCCCGTGTCCTCTCGGTCACTTTCCCCCACATTCCTCACCCCGGCCCATCCTCATATGCCCCCTTCCGCCAGCAGCCCGCACCACGCTCCCCAGTGACCAATTACGTGGCAATTACTCACTGCGCTGGCGGAGTGGCTGCAATTCCCTACTTTGTCAGTAGGACTCATTTGCTCTCTCTGCTAGCACCCGGTACCATGCCCCTAGTAACCCACTGGATAGTACTTCATGGTGTGCGAGCCTCTGCACTCATATTTCCTTGTTCTACAGCACTCTGCGCTATGCGCTGTAATGATCCATTTTACATCACTACACATGTGTGAGTCAATGTATGCTTATGTGTGTGAGCACGCTTATTCATGTAGGTGTGTTTATGTCTGTGTGCTTATCATTTTCCTCAACACGCGCTATCCTTGGCGGCAGAATATAGCACTCATATGGAGAGCTGTGAGAGATTTATCTGAGGCTATTTCATCATGGGCATCGTCAGTGCATGTGGGGAAAATACCTCTCCTATGAATGTATATGGTTACAGTTTGGCCATTTTTACACGTCTGAGCTTGCACGCATATTTTGCAGCTGCTGGTGGTTTTAATATCTTCTCGCCACATATTAAAAGCACAAGACACACCAGGCGTCGTGGGGATAGCAACGTCAATCGTGCATAATGCCTGCAAGTACAAACTGTAATGTCAAATGGATTTTTTTTTTATATATCCAGGATCATTACCATATATCCACGGAAGCCAGGGGGGGCACCTGGGGCTCCACTTTGCGGGGGTGGGGGGGTCACACAGTCTACCTCGGATTTTTCATTCTCACATCGGTGTGCGAACGTGGATTCGCAGAATAACCAAAATACAGGACGGCAGTGTTGATATTTTCAGCGTTTTCTCGACCAGACACGAGTGAGCAGTGCATGCAACCTCCCAGAGGAATTGGCCTCAGTCGCCGCTCAATGCTGGGGAATTATTACCAAGATGCTGCCTTTGAATTCCAATTACACATTAAGCCATTTACACATTCCCTGAGACTGGGATAGGCAGAGGCGAGGCTCTCTGCCTCCAGCAAAGTGGCTCCTACAGCAAGTGATAGGAAAATAGATGTCTGCGTTTGTCAGGCACCAGGGGTGAAGTGGCGGCATGGTGGTCGTGTGGTGGCCAGCGGCTCTATGATGCAAACACAGTGCTCCAAATCGGATTGCCGACTGCGGATTTCGTGAATGGTGAATATCTGAACCAGGCCTGACCCCACCCCTTCAAGAAAGTTGCACTGACCAGCGTGGTGAAGTATGGTGAATCTACTCCGATGACTGACACGGAGTGGGGAGGCCTTATTCTTTCTGGCCTCTCAAATCGACATGCTATGAAAAAGGCCCATTGCCCCAAACTTCATCAATTATATATTTTTTTACTTTCAAGGCCACTGTTATTGGCGGATGTGTTCAATTATATGTGCACGTCCAACCCTGCCAATGTAGTGCAGTAATACCCCTATTTTACGTTTCTCCCTTTTGTGTCATTTCGCAAATATGTCGTCACTTTATTAACACTACTACGTGATTTGACCTCCGGTGACGTTGTGACCTCGGGAAGTTCTCTCCTTCCCGTCTCCATCTCGAGGCAGGTTTATTCCATGCCACACACGTCCCATCATACGTCAAACTCTTAATATTTCGTTCTTTTTCTTTCGTAGATCCGTATGCATTTGTTTTACCGCATTATTTCAACACATTTTTCCAGTTTGCTATAATTGGCACTGGGCCTGCTTTACGCCTCCATTTTTTTACTTGCCCCTACCACCATTCTACACCATACAATTGTGGCCATGTCTTGTAAGCGCTCTGTCAAAATGCAAGAATGACTCTTGCTGTGGAATCTCTGCAACAAAAAAATAACCCTTTCCCCAGGGACGAACACCGACTGATGGGTAGCCCCACCAATGCACTTCAAAAGCAGGGGCTGATCCACCAGGATGACTTGGCAAAGACGGTGACCCTGAAATGTGTCACTGCATGTTTTACTAACATTGATTCTATCACAGCGGTGATCGACAAAATCCCTGCGCTACCCTTCCTTGTATATTTTAGCAGACAAATTATGCCATCCGCACCACAGCGGTGTCACAACATGTGCCGATTTGTGCAATTGTACGGTGGAAAGACGTCTTAAAAAGTGCGGTGGAGATTTCTTTCCTTTGAGTAGGAAATCACCGCGCTTTTTTTGCTTGAATTCCATCAGCAGAATGTCCAAGAAAATCAAAACCAAATAATTGGCAACTTGTTCTCATGGGTCGTTCCAACTTGTACACGAACCCAACATTAAACTGAATTAAATGGGATGGGAATTTGTTTAATAGATTAAATTGATTGTCATCTATGTGATTGTTATATAATTTGAATCAAATACTGCAATTGTTATTCTGGGCTCTTTCCATCTCACACAGGGGATTTTGCCGTGGTGTAAATGGTTAAACATAGTGAAGTTGCAATTCAGAGTTTTGCAGTTTATTTATGTTCCCATCGTGGCAGTTAATATAAAAAAAAATGTTATTCCCCCACCATATATATGTTGGACTTGTGAATATGTTTTCCCCTTTTTTCTGGCAACAAACAGGTGCTATGTTAAAACACCAAACTGAAACCTTTTACAAGGAATCATGTCTGCATTAACCACAATACTTGTGGTGAACATGCAAACATAAAAAACACATGCTCTGATAGTATATGCATTGTCTTTGAAACTGATTGGTCCACACAAGAGACAGCTTTCTTTTAAGCCTAGTCTCAAAACGATGTTAGACCAGAGGACGCCAAAAGGCGTCCAGCACAAAGACAACGCACCGTCTCTGGTGTGGACCAATCAGTTTCAAAGAAATGCATATACTATCAGAGCATGTGGTTTTTTTTGCACGTTCACCACAAGTATTGTGGTTAATGCAGATATGATTATGTGTTAAAGGTTTCAGTTTGGTGTTTTAACATCTTAACACCTGTTTGTTGCCAGAAGAAAAAGGGAAAAACCTATTCTCATATTTCGGTACCGGCAAAGGAGTTCCCATGATATGTTGGACTTCTTTGGCATCGTATGTAGCCAACCATGCTACTTGGAGCTTTCTATTGCTGTCCACCTAGCAATGAAAACGGGTGCAGCACAGTCGATCGGCACTGTTGCGTGTGCTCAGATCAAGTGTAAATTACTCCCACCTATTCCAAGAAGTCTGGTCGGCATGAAAGAGTAGGCCAAAAATCCCATTTTAGAATGGAGGCTCTCTTGAGCTCCCTCTCGTGGAAGGCTTCATTGCCTTTGCCGGGCAGCGGTGGCTACACCACGTGGCATGTTGCTCCAGCGCTGTGGAGGCAGCGAGGGTCAGTGGATCACACAAACGTTGTGAAACTCCTTTCCACGTGGGCGTCGAGGTGCCAAACCCTGGCTCACCGGGGAGAATGCGGTCCTGAAAATGTGGACTAACCTCCATCTGTTCCATCTGTATGGGAGAGTGTTGCCCCCCTCGCCCAAGTGGGTTTTCTCTGGGTGATCCAGTTTTCTCCCCATGCGTGCGAACTCATTAATTGGCCGAAAACAATTTAAATATATAGAGGCTCACAGAACTTGGGCAATTGTTGGTGCCCTGCTTACAGTCTGGTTGCTGCCTTCCCGCTCGTCTGCGGTTGCTCGCACCTCTGAGTCGCTCTCTCACTTCACGAGTGAGCGAATACAGTGCGTGGCGTAACAAGTTGAAATCATTATTGTTAGCAGTAGCGTGGGCATGATATGGCAGGGCTTCATCTTGATCTGTACCATCTTGCGCAAGAAGCCAGAATTTAATGTCATTGATGAGGCACAGAATTTGATTGTGAAAGCAGAATGAGTCGACGAAAGAGCAATTATACCATTTGGAAGTTTACATCCATATCTAGACATTTATTAAGAACGGTTAATTCATTTCAGCATATACGGTACATTTCAAAATGAAAATATGCAGTACAAATATCCCTTGTATGCACTGTTCAAACATCCACAATAAAAAACATGAACTGCATTAACCACAATCCAATTTGTAATGTCCCATAAAGATAAATTACATTTAACTTCACATCAATATACGCTTGTACCTACCTAAGGTTTGCAACACGAACATATGCCGTTTTTTTGTTTGTTATTCACATCAAACACTGTGGTTTTTGACGCTATCCTTTCACCTGTACAACTAAATCACTTGTAATGAAGTCCATTTGCCAGAGTTTTACAAAATAAAAACAAATAACAAACACCTGTGTCCATTCCAAAAAAAGCCACAGCATAGAGAGGAGCTTTTACAAAGGCTTGTTTCATCGAACGTAGAAAACGGTTGCAACGTGGATTTTCTGGAATGCCATTCGAAAGTTGTGCACCGTAACCTTTGTACTTGAGGCGTTTCTCAAACGGGGCCTCTTTCTGAGCAGAGCCCATGCTCGTGTGCTTCTTGTCGTGCCATTGTTACCCGCATTTAAAGGAATTACAGTATCGTTCGCTATTAATTTCGGTATGCAAGTTTTCTCTAGTGTTTTTGTTTTCAATCAGATCAAGACTTTTTTCATATTTTTTCGTCGTTTCAATTGCTGCCCTTGAATTGTTCAAGTGTGTCACCTATATCTCACCCCCCTCCTTCCCCGGTACCATTAAGTTACAGTGCTGGCGTCAAGACACAGAACCGGTCATACGTCGAGATCATACCGCGCCAAGTAAGCATGACAAGTGCTTGCGTTGAGCAGCATAAGAACGGGCTTGTACCGCACCTCCAACCATTTCAGTTTGGACCAAATAATGTAATTTATCCAATGATCAATTTCACCCAATGAAGTAATCGTTTTTCAATTAAAATAGCTTTCCGTGAATAATTTTCAGACGACTTAAATAACACCCGCCGTCATTGCTTTGTGGAGTGATACGTAGGATCGACAATAGTTTGTACATTTTAATTGTTATTAAGAAAAAAACCCTACGGAATCCCTACTCGACAATGTGAATCCTTACACACTACCGCTACAATATTGTATAAATAACTATAATCCGCCAGAAATTAATGTTTATTTATTTAATTTTCGTATTAATAATCTGAACACTTGTGCTTCTCTGTGAAATTGATACGTTTCTGCGGGAGCATCGCCATGCGGACAATACAAATGAGTGTCCACGAACTTTACAAACGAGCCAGAGAAAAGCGATCACCCCAGCAGTTCGTTACATTCAGTACCTAAACAATGCTATTCAAACGCTACGCCAATGTCCTATGCCACTAAACGTGTGCTCTTAACAGATCTGCACAAGTCACCTAAAACACACGGATAATTAATCATTATTATTATATTAAAAACGACATCGACTTTGCGTGTTTGTCTGATAAACCATGTGCAAAATAATTCCATCTAGTGGAATTATTCGAGCGAAACAAAAAACAACAATTAGGATTTTTAACATCATATTTACAAACTTGTTGAAACTTCAGAATGTGAGTAGGGTTAATGATTGCAATGTAATATGAAAAAGAGATATTTTTAATATAATCATTATACAAATAAAACATCGCCAGCTTATACAAAATAAGTCGGTTTAACAACTTTGATATTTTCCAGCGAGAAACAAAAACACAAGTAACCTTTAAAATGCATTTCACATATACTGTACTGTATATATGTGTGGATTTGAGCTCAGTTTTCAAAATATCTGGGCGTTCAACCATCATCATCATCATCGAGTGAGTTAATATCACGACCAGGGTCAACTATGACCGAACATCATCATCATTTCCGTGGATCTGGGGTGGTAAAAAGAGGACCTCCTGTGGGGGAGGACTGAGCAAGTTGGAGAGATGGTTGGTAGCGGTTGTTTCTTTGGAGAGACTGGTCCCCGTCATAGGAATGTCGATTTTTGTTTTGTTTACCAGTGACTCATTACCATCAACTGAGATGAACGCTTACCAATTGGCTTTTAAGAAAGCAAACGCGAGACCCTTTTCACACACATATACGGTACATGCATACGCGTGCATCACAATGCATGTGGACATGTCATAAAATGCTAACGCTTGTGGGTGTACACATTTAAACCGCACAGCACAGTACTTGCAACACTTCAGTGTGAAGAGCACTCTGGGAAAAGTCTTATTAAAAGTACCGTAAACACACCAATGCCCGTAAAATGTGTTTTAAAAACCCATAAAAATCTACTCTCGCCACATAAAATACCGTGCAGCACTGCGTGAGAAGTTTTCTTTTAACTCGTGACTTATTTTGGTGAAGCCGGCCTTTTATTTGTATTTATTAAACGATCAATTAAATCTACAATTTCGGTCGAGAATGAAACTTTCTCTATTTCCGTTTTCACCCATAGCAAAACCCTCTCCTAAACTTGACTCGAACAGTAACTGTTGTGTTTTTTTTTATTGTGTCGTGCTCGTTATCACCGTATCCTTATAGACGTGCAAGAGGCACTTTGAACTGTTAAACGTAATGAGAGGTCATTCGTATATATTCGTCACGCAACCCCAAGCTGGTTTCTCCACTCGTCTGCGGTTGTTGCTGGTGTTTCCCCCCCCTCACAGTTTTTGAAAACCAAAACCACCCCGCACCGCCACGAACACCACTTTACAAAACGTCAAATACAAATGGAAAAAACGATTCACGAATGGGCCCCCCCCTCACCCCCCCCCTCCCCCGTGTGCTCATGTTTCGCTAAAAAACTACGCAGCCCCCCCTGCTCCCCCCCCCACCACTCCTGCCCGTGCGCCGTTGCGTCTCCGTGCTCCCAGCGTTCAGAGCGTTGGCTTCCCGTGTCGCAGTTGCTTTTTTTTGTACGTGCAGGCGGTTTCTCTCTCCGTCTCGGTGTGTGTTTTTGTGTTTTCCCTCCGTTAAACCTACAATTTACACAACAGCATCACGTCACACATCGGCGCGGGGGACACAAACAGCGAGAACTGATACAAAAAAAGCCAAGCATCGCGATCAACCGACGCAGTTACACACTCGCAAGCAAAATCACCGAGTTGATTTTAAGGAGTGGATTCGTGGCTAGGTGTATATATATATATATCTCAACGGGTGTCCAAATTCACATTTTTTTAATTTGTGTTTGCAGCAACCGCCAAAATTGACTTCAAATTCCACGATAGATATTTTTCTGTTTTCTCTGCATCACTCATCCACCAGTTCCCTGAAATCAACTGAAAAGCGATGTCTACTCTTATCATCAGAATGGACAGGCAACGAGCAAGTATCTGCTATTCATCATACTACAATCACTTTAAAGTTATCACTTGATAGGGAATTTCAACATAAAGACGTACTGCAGGGAATGTGACCTTTTTCTGAGCACTGTGCCTCTATTGGTCGAGATGCCCTGACCAGTTTTAACATTCACAGCACCTGTAATAGGCTGGTGTTTCAATGAACCACACATGTTTAGCATTTAATTTGAGGCTTGCCAATTGAATGATTTTGATGTATTGAGGTAATAATTCAATTTTGTTGAAGGTAATAGGGCTTTAACATTTCCTCCTCATTTATAACGTGAAGTTTCATCATGGAAAGAGTTCCCATCAATTTAAATCATATACTGTGGAATTACATTTGACCCAGCGTCTTATGATTAGCCACCATTATTGAGAGAATTGCTTTTTCTCAGCCTTTTTGCTAAAAGGTGCTGTTTACCAAAATGGCATCAGTAGGAACTATGGAGTCATAATTGTTATTGGCATGGCATGAACGATGAATTTGCTTTAGGTCAGCTGCAAGAAAAAGCACTTTTCAGGAATTCACAAAAGCAGAAGCAGGTAGAGTTTTTCTTTTTACGCGTTATAATATTTTATGCCAATTGAATACAGGAAACCGAGTGGCATTGACTTAAAAACAAACATTCCGTCTACAATGTGTAAAACAATGGAGCTCATGTCTTGGTGTTGTCGTTGGCGGCTGATTAGGAACGACAATGAGCGGCATTTCATCTCCTAACATGGTTTGTGGGTGACATAGGCCACTGAGGAGTCATCTGTGGTTCGTCGCAGCGGCGTTTTGGCTCACCATCGAAGAAAGGCGGTCACTGCATCACACTCTTTCATGTGCGCTTCTGTGGCCATTTGGAATGCTCTTCCTTCTGATATTAGGAAGCTGTGCACTTTAAAATCTAGATTGAAAAACTAATTTCTTAAAAATTGCTTTTTGTATTTAGTTTGTTGTCCTTCCCCCATACCTCCGATGTGCGTGGTTGGCTACGTACGGTGCGAAATAAGTTCAACATACATCTGCGTTTGTCCATTGTGCTTTGTTCACGCATGGTCGCACTACGACAATGGAGTGATTGGCAAGCTTTGGTGACACCACCAACGCTGGTCACGGTGACCTCTAGATTGTAATTTATTTTTAATAGGTTTTTGTTGCAATTTCAGTTTCTCAATCAAGCGGCATCCAATTTTCTGACTGTTCGGGGGAATTTTAAGCCAGAGGCAATGTTTCCTCACTGCACAATTATGCTCTGTCAACAATTCTCATCGCGCCCAATACGAGACCCACCCTTAGCCTCTGAAGCCCCAGATAAATGACGGCTTGCACTTTGACCTCAGCAGTAATAGCTGTGGGTATGCAGGAATTATACCGTTGGATTGGACGAAAATCACGAACTTTGATGTTAAAAACGCACTTGTGTTGATTGCAAAGAATAATTGATTTGAGTACGTTTCACAATTTTTTTTACGTCTTTCAATCAACCAGGCAAGAAACAAATTGAGATAACTGTTTACTTTAAAATTCCTAAACGGCGAATTTGTATACCTTTTATTGGACAGATATCTGTGTTATTTTATTGCCATCAATTTTTTTACCAGGTCTCCTATGAAAAAGGAGAAACCTTTATAATTGATAATGGGGTGTTACTTGGTTTAATGATTAAATCGCTGTTTAATTATTGAATAGCTGGTCAATCAATAAAAAAGGAAGATGCTTATTAATTAATTATATATATTTTCATTTTCCGTCAACATAACTGCATGGTTAAAAAAAATTACAGTCATTTTACCATTTGAAACTCGCGATATGACTGCAATAAAAAGGCTTTATGTGCACTTTACATGGCAGACTGCATGTTGGCAGTGTCCCACAGATATTACTGCGCATTGATAGTGATCAAAATGTAAACGTAGTGGAAACTAGCCGAGTGGTGATGCGAAGTGACCAGTTGGCTACCCAGCCTCGCTATTCATTAACAACACCCACTTCTTGCCAGCGTGGAAGCATGGCAGTGCAGGACTTCTACGGATGTCTCATTCATTGGCACATCTCATGCATGGCCTGTGGCGTGGAATTCTTTTGTCAGAATATTTTTTATGAGCATAGTTTTGCATTCTTTGACACTCGGGACAGGAGTAGATTTATCCCTCTCAATTAGGTTTGATGCAATGTTTTCATATTTACCAACTGAGTGTGTAATCTATGATCAGAAGATGGCGAATTCACATACTGGTCGAAGGGAGTTAAACTCAGCCCATCGTCTTTCCAGAGAAGATGAAATGTCGTCCTTCTTTGTGGCTTTCTTGTGGGTTGAATGGGCCCCGCCATGGGAATGTGGAATTGTCACTACTGCCTTAAGGCCGCCCATGGAAATGATCTTTGTTGAATTATTTACTGCGATTTGATGATTTAGCAATTCTTGCAGAAAGGGCAAATTCAATTTACGAATATGAATGGCATCATCGGAAAGCACGCCACCCAAGGAGATGGAGCGAGGAAATCGGCTCGTGTGCAGGTGCTAGGCGGATTGTTACATCGCAGAACCGTGAGATGACAGTGAATATGGGAGGTCTTCATCCAGCAATGGATTGATCAAGACCGATGATGAACATCAAATCTGATGGCCGATAAGTTATGCACTGCGTCATGAGAACTATACTCGACCGTAAAAAAGTAAGGTAATGTTTAGTTGTACTAATGCGTAGGAATGAAATATGCAAGGCGAAGGATAAGATGCAATATCAATTTCACCTCATTGTTTAAATATCCTTGCCCATGAAAGCCAGAGTCTGTAACACTCTTTTTCAGGGGGCTTCTTGGATGTTTGCCAACTCCCTTTTAAGCGTTTAATTTGCATGTGAGAGGAGAGCGGAATGCTCGGGAGAAAGCCACACATTAATGCCATTCACTCAATGCGGTTTCCTGTATTCAATGGGCACAATGGGCAGAGCTGCTGCAATTTATCCACGCGGGAAAGGGACTGAAAACCATTTTGGGTGAAACGGTAATTCGCTTGGCAGTGAATTAGGTAACGTAAACACTATACATTCCACCTACATTATGTTCACATTGTATACAATATGGGACTTTTTTTATGTAGCTCTCCATGCAACGATACTTCACAATACGTTTATTCAATTAACATAGCACTGATATGTAAATTATGTATCTAATGCCTTCTATAACACGACCGTTAACCATTGAATTGTATTGGGTGTGTGTGTATAATCGTATACGTGGGGCAGTCAATGCATTTTGCCAAATTACACTTTGAAAGGGTGCCTGAGGCTCGTACTGTCATTTACAAATGCACCCTCATTAATATCCGGCCGAGCGTTCACATTCAGAAGATTGCGAGTTCAAATCCCGGTCAGGGTCGACCCATCTCTTCTTCTGGGGTCGATACAAATGATTAGGAATGTGTCAGAAGTCACCAATTTGGTCAATTTATGGACAACTATTCCCCGGAGCACACAAAAAAACCCGTGGAATTTCCACCACAATGGACATTCACCACTGATCGTTTGTCTGAGGAGCTCTGTGACTCAACGTTCAACTAGATTAGTGCCACTGCCGTTCTCCAAACTATTTTACTCCCTCCCGTGTGTGTGTGTGTATCTAATACATGACTATTGCACGAACCTCAAAATCAACTTTGTAACTTCCACGCGTGACTACGTAACGAATCTATATTACAACAGTGTCTATAGCTAAATAACGCAATTGAACTACACGACGTATTTTTTTGTGTTTTTTGTTATACTTTTTTATCTACTCAATTTTTTTCTTCAATATTGAACACTAAAAAATACACGGTGTGTGTTTATTATGTGGCGATCCACAATACAGTTTTCCTAAAATAGCACTGAATAATATTAATACTTCTTCATTGAGTATCGCTAAATGGGCAAATCAACATAGAATTTATTATTCTTGAAGTAAAATGGGGTTTATAATTTCCCCTGCCGTTGAAGTGAAAAGTGTAATTCAGTAAAAAAAAAGTTTGTAGGCAGGTGTGCGAAATTAGAAAATGGTCAAAAAAATAACGCACGTGAATTGATGATAAGAAATACATTGTGCTTGCGTTCATAATAATAATAACAATGGGATAATTAGTTCCCAATTGATATTCCTCTGTTAAGGTGGGTCTCCCGTGGTTGAGGAATCTCATTTCAAATCGCTTCAAACATTTATTTTAGAAGATAAAAAACGAAAACAGACCTTGTTCACAGTACTACTTCTCTCACATTGTTTTCCCTTTCCTCAATTCCTTGAGAATAAAACTAATGGTTATAGCAATCAGTTATGACAAAACATTAGACGATATTCTTACCTGCAGTTCTCTGTTAAAATTGTTGTGGATATTAAACTCAGAAGCTGTGGGGCTTAATAATAACACGGCCACTGGCTCGTTAAGTTAGATTATTATTACGGTGGTTCAAAGTTCGAGTCAAAGTGTTAGAGTTTAGTCTAAAGTTTTTAAAAGTATTTTGAAATGATAACCATATGTCCGATGTGTATAATAAAAATATAAATTTGCTAAATGCAGCCAAAGACCGAACTGACCCAACTTATTTTCCATAAACTCAAATATTTAGTTTTAGTCTTGGCCAGGGCCGAACTAAAAGAATGAGTACAACTTTGCATTCAGTCGACAGTGGACTAGCTTTTTTGAGAACCTCTCACCTACCATAAGAATATGGAATTTCCACCCACTGGCTATGGGTTTGCCAACGTAGATGAGCACACCCCCAAATGGCTCAGCATCAGAGCAGAGAGACACTTTCACTTGACTTGATAATAACTGTCTTGTAAATAGATTTAATCTTTACATTTCAACCGCATGTGGAGGGGCAGTGCAGCAAGACACATTGTTGTCCTGCACTTTCTCTGCTCCCACAACAACGCTATCCACCTTCGCTAATCCGCACCCACACCACGCGTGGTGACAGACAGATGCAGCAAAAAAACCAACCCACGACCAGCGCGGTGTGGTGGGCTCCTCATCCATCCAGCAGTGGACTGGCAAAAAGGCCTGTACATGTACCCATGTCAACACTTGTCCATCATTAACTTGGGCTGTGTAAAGGAAATAAAATGTTTCAGCGATTTGAAATGTTCTGTCACAATTTTTTTTTTTTTATCAGAGAGGTGCGACGCAACATCGGCTTCGAGAGCTTGCAAAAAATGTCCTCAAGCTCACAGGAGAAAGTGTTAGGCCGCAGCCTGTGTAAGCGTGGAAACGTTCTGCATGGCACAAGGCTCAGGACTGTGCATGCATGGGCAACTCTATTGAGCCACTGTGTGCACAAACACGGCTCTCTCCGTGCCAGGGTTTGTGGTGGAATTTCTCCCAAGCGTTCTGTAGCGCTTTACGCAAACGGGGGCACGGCAATGGATGACATTTTCTCACGGCAAAAAAGCCTTGTGAAAAATACACGTATAAATGCATACGGGCGTGCCGTATGTATTTGCTGTGCATTAATCGGTGTACGGGCAGGCGTGCGTGCGTGCGTACACTCCAGTCGGGTGGTGTTGCAGTTAGGGTACTTGATTTGCATATTGAAAGCTGCGAGTTCGGCGCATCATCTCTGTCGGCTCGATTAAATGAGTACCACTTTGTGGAAAGCCTACAGCAATTGCACTCTGGAAAATATTGGTGCTGAATTATGACCAACCGAATGCACAGCATACGGAGGCAATGAAAGGTCTGCAAGTTTTAAAACAGATCTTAAATGTATGCAGTCTTAACACCTACAACATTTAATTTACCTGCATTCGATTAAAATCATAATTGACAGCCCTCTCTCAATCCACAATTGGAAACGGGCCTCCACGTGCCACGTCGGTCATGGGCGGGGGGGGGGTGTTTGACCATGCTTCACCACGCTAGTTAATGGGAGATGGTGAAGGCTGTATAGGGGGCCAGCTCCAGTTCAGATATCACTCGCCACTGATGTTAGCCGTGGCCTGGAATTTAACTCGGGTTCGTGGAGTTAATCACGCAGCGTGCTAACTATCACACTGAGGTTTACATGGCTATTGTTGATCGCCATTCCGTTAGTTTGTGCATGTATTGCTTTAAATTTGATGTGCATGTTGTGCTTCCACACAAGTCCACGCATGTATGCATTATTCTTATATTGTTGCCAAGGTATAAAGTGTTTGCATCCAAATTCAAATTCGGTTGGTTCATATTTTTTAAATATCTCATTACTAAACTTTTTGACCATCCCTTGCATAAACTGCCCAGCATATATGCAACATGCAGTGCGCACACACACATCTGTGTGTGTGCGTACTGCATGCATGAGGATGTCGTATGCGTTCACTTATCCCCATTTATCCTGGCTGAGGCTGTCAGGGCTGTTACTGTTAGCGAGGGCCCGTTAAGGGCAGCAAGGCCAAAACTGGATATTGCTTCAGTGCAGTGGAGATGCCTCAGCCACCTTCATCTCTCCAGTGCCGACGTTAACAACCGCAAATCAGCAGGTACTGATTTTAGGGCCTATGAGTTGACCTATGCGATGCCCAGACCACGTTCAGATTCCAAATTGGAACCGGGTCAATGCGAACCGCAGCACAGTGTAACCACTGCGCCACCACTCCGATTGTGCCGTACGCTGCCAGAAATGCGCACAGGACGCGTGCAGCACGGCACGCGCGATGCGCATGAGCACAACGCCACGATTCACTTTCCCAGGACCGATTTTTTTTTGTGTCATCCATTGCACGGAGCTTGCGGTTGCCGCAGCGCAAGTTAAAAAAAGCAGCGGCGACGACAACAACTCATTAGATTGTGCGGATGCGTCCGATGGCTTAATACATGCAGGCATGCGTGCCAATGACAAACACGAAACTCTTTCTCTACCCCCCCCCCCACTCAGAGACTCCACGGCTTTTTGACTAAAAGGGGACGTCACTCGAGCGCTGAAAGACCCCCCGCCCCGCTCATTACTGCCGCTCGCTTGCCCCTCGTAAATAGCGGAGACCCGTACCTCTTCCTGTGCTCCCCCATCCTCCCACTTCTAACAATACCCAACACAGTTGCTTCACCATGCCCTATGCAAGCAAAATGTCCACGCACTGCATGCAGTCGTGCGCGTCGTTGTCGCAAGCCATGCGCGGGAGAAAAACGGAACATAGGACGAGGATGCTCGGAAGCGGGCACGTCTCCACACACACACCGCCCCCCCCACCGCCCCCTTCCTCTCTTGTGAATGTGGCCCGGCATTGCCAACTGGTCCCCCCACACACACACACGAAGGGGATGAAATCTGGGGCGAGGCGTCGCTCAATAACGGGCGTGCAAAGTCGCGCAGCGACGCCGACGACGGAACGGGCACCGGTGGGGTGGAGCGGGCGAGCTAAGCTGGTCGAGCGCCGTTGTGCTGTCACGTCCAACGATGTTTTTTGGGTGTTTGCCGGTGCTTTTTTTTTTGGCACTGCGGTCAATTCAGTCGCTGGAGCGTCACCGTGATGTGATTTTTTTTTGCGTTGCATTAGTTGCGTTTTTAAAATGCAACGATTTAGTTTTTAAAGAAGCAAAGGTTGCCAGAAAAAATGTTAAAAACGGAAATAACAAAAATCGTACACATGTGTGGTTTATGCAATGTACCGGGAAAAAAATTTAAATGCCTATTTCATGTCCTGAGTAAATTGTAAAGAAAAAAAATTCTGCGATGGAATACACTGACCTGAATTGCCTTAGTAACATTCACACGTTTGCTTTTAAGTAAATGTTGTGTTTTATATATATATAAAACTAGTCCATTAAATTAAAGGAAGTGCAATCTGCTGTGTAAATTAAACATTCCACTAAAGTAACCAAAGTTAAATTAATACAGCAAAAACAAGATATGCATATATCTATATATTACTGCACCATTGTATTTATCAGTGACTCCCATTTTAAGTAATTCAATAATGCAATGTAAATTCAACGTCCCTTCATTTAAACCTCTCTTGGGACGACTGACACCCTTTACAGCCAGGTGTTATCGTTTAAAACGATTGAAATTGAGGTTAGGCCACTGGTATACAAATGGCTTATTCTTGCACATGTTTCCAAGGGGGTCTTTAATATCCATTGTCCGGCAGGCTGTGTGCTTTGGTAAATCCGCAGCAGAAATTGCCAAGATCCCGGTAGCGGAATTAAACTGTTAACCCTTGTTTTTAGCAGCCGAGTTGCAAGCGTGCTGACCACTCAGCTCACTGGCTCTCAACGTCAGCCTATAAAATGTGCAGCCTGAGGTTTAATAAGGAATGTCTTGTGAAGTGAGCACCGCTATGATGTAGTTTCGGTTATTGCTGTGTGTGCTTTAACATCGCCCTGCCCGGGCACATCTCGATACAGATTGGATTCTGCTGAAGGTTTCCTCGTTTAACCTCAACGTCGATTAAAAATGGCTGCTACTGCTGCTCATTCGTTCACTGTGGCACCCTGCCCACATTGAAAAGCGTATTTATTAATACAACTTTTTATTTAAGAAAAGTTTCCTTAAAAAGCACACGTCAAAATACCAACGGATCTCGCTGATATGTTTTGATATTTTGTTGTTGTTGTTGTTGTTAAAAGAACGAACCCGAAAAAAAGGAGGAATTAAACGAAAATCGAATAAACGCCACGGAGAAGGTCCGTTGCATCTCGGCAGTGGGAAATCCCGACATAGGAGAGGGGCACCGGTGCCGTCAGGGGTTAACACGTTGGGGGCACGCGAGCTCCGCATGCAGCCTTGACGTCGCACGGGGCACAGAGCGGCGTGGGTTTACGCGCCCGGGCGCTGCCCTGCGCTTCACACGAGCCGCTCGAGGGGTGCGGGGGCAGCCACAACGTTGATGGCAGACTGAGTGAAGAAATTGCGTGAACGGGACTTCTCCGATGGTCAGGAAAGTGCCCTGGGTTATTTTACCGCAGGTTTTCATCACAATGGCTGTTACATTTTAGCGAAGTCGCTCTCCAATGCACAGGCGGTGCTGCTGCTGTGGCAGTAATTAATTAGCCACGTTTGTTCATCACGTGACAAGTTTATTAATTGGCTGTATTGGGTGCAGGAGGATTTATGATTTTTTAAAATTATTTATGCGTTCTGATCCAAAAAAAGATCAATTATGAATTGTAATATTGGTCGCGAAAGCCTACTTGTGTTTAAATATATAAGTTGTCATTGCCTAGAAAGGAAGCGACATATTTAAAAACCAAAATATAAAATCTTAATTGGGAAAAAGTGCCAAATTCACTAATGAAGTAGGTTTTCATTATTATTTAAGCTACTTTTTTGGCACTGCCTTGGCAGTGGGGTAACACCACAGAGCTGAGTCCATTAAAACCACCACACTTGGGAATGTGTATTAACATTTCAGGAGACCAGTGCCTGGGATTTGAACCGAGAATCTCAAAAACATGGAATTATCATCTGAGCTAATTGGCGACATCAATCTTTTATTTGCAATGTTACAGTTTTGCTCTCATGAGATCTGGCCATGTATAATTGTCACTCAGCTCACATGCGAAGGTCCTGGGTGTGTATTCTAGTAAAAGAGCCATCTGCTCAGTTCAACGCAGTCGACTGGTCCCTGCCATAAGATTGTGGAATTTCCATCATTGGCTCATGGTTGCAGAGATAGAACACTGCTCTAAGCTTGTTTAGACAGGAAGACACTTTTACATGTTCAGCCTGCCATTTTGGGTTACGATTGCATTGACAAATTTACTTAATAAACGTTCACGTATATTTAAATCGACGAACCATGCACCTTGACATAGATAATGGTCTTGTGCCATTGTATTATGGTTTTAGTGGACTCTTACACCTGTATTCAAATACAATCTATATGAGCGCATTATCCAGATTATCACCCGCGTTTTTTCCCACGCGATTTTAAAACCGTTTTGGGATGCGTCTTATTAATGTGTTATGCGTGCGTGCGTGTGCGACCAGATAAAAAAAAATGTATTAGAAAGCATCTCACTTTCCGGACCATCTTATAACCCAGAGACTATGGTAATTTCTTTACTTTTACAGAACAAAATGCCACGGGTCGCTCTGCCACCAGCGATGTCAAGGCTACAAAGCCCAGCGAACGGCGCAGCCCCAAGTGGTGTACAGCCCGGCGCGTGCGCGTGTGGGGAGGTTTGGGGTGAAAAAAAAAAGGGACGGCACGGAGGAGAAGGAAAGAGAAGTTGGGTTCGGGCTGGGAGTGTGAGAGGGTCAGTGGAAAGGAGTCCTGCATCTGCGCCCTCATTCATCCGTTTCCGCTGTCCGTTCAGCTTTCACGCTTCCATGGGTCCTCCTCAAAGAGTGTGAACTCTGCCGTGGCACCATTTTTGCCCGCCGCACCGGCCTGCAACCGATTTTAAGAAAAATGCAGATGTGGCCAAGACGGAGTCCGTCTCAGTACGACTCTGAACGTCATCAGTGCGGTTACCGATACTGTCACTCTTCACAAAAAGATGCCTTTGAAAGCGTACCTTACACCTCTGTTCCACCTTTAAATCGTAAACAAATATTAATTTCACTTTGCAAAGAGAAGGGCAGAACACTCCGCCAAGAGCGTGCATGTCATGTGTGTTTTTTTTTAAACCATTCATTATTAGCACTCCGGATATAACATCACCACTGTCACCATGTCCATGAGCACTGTGTAAACAAATACGACAGAATACAACATGAAGTTTGAGGCAATGGCTTTTCCCTCAGAGCTCTGAAGAAGAAGAACCATTAATTTTAAAAACGGGCAGTGCTTGAAAAGATAGTCTGTTATATGTATACAGAATTTTATTAACACTGTGGTTTTGCTTGGCAGACTACCACTAACTTAAAAACATATACAAGTCAAAAAATAGCAATGACATTTTTGCGGGTCTGCTCACGGTGCTTCCATTATTTGAAGCTCAGCGCTGTTTCTTATCAAGTAGCAAGTGTCAAGACGTGTCCGTTTTATTTAAGGGAATAATGTACTCCAAGCACGGGCTCTTAATGAGAGCAGAATAACTCTCTTTGACAGGGAGCCACTTTGGAATAAAATAATGATGCTGCACAATTTAATTAATAATTCACAGGGCTGTTTCCAGCGCAGAATATCTTCAGTTTGAGAAGGTTATCTTTAATTGTTGTGTCTCGCAAGAAACAAAGCCACCTCTCCCTCCTTGTGGTTGCTTTGGGCCAGATTATAAAACACAAATTTAGGAACTCACTGTATCTCTTCAGAGCCCTTCTTGGCAAAATCCAGAGATCAAGGCACTCACGACAATGCTGCAACAATCTCACCTAAGAGGCATCATCACTTACGATCTATCCACTGATGGATGAAGGCCTCTCCACGCTGACGCTATCCATCATGGTCACGTGATGCCAGCATCTACCGCTCCTGTACATGAGCAGATTTCACCGCTGCATCTCCGTGGCTGGTCATGGTATCCTGAGTGTGTCTCTCCTTTGGCTGCAATGCCATCACCAATCCTTGCCCATTGACCATCAACCCTTATAGCGATGTGTCCTGTCTGGTCACAAGTCTGCTTACTCACAATTAACAATAAAGTTGAGGCCTATCATTGGCATTTGTTCTCACAAGTTTATCTTTTCTCTCCATGCTACTGTGTGTAGTTTTCAGCCCTGAAATCCACGTTCCTTGTGAAGTGCCTGCATTTATGATCAGTATGTTATAGCAAGTAATATGCACTGAACAAAACCACTAAACTAATTACATCAGTACGTTGCTCTTTATGATTTACATTAAACTTTTGCAGAAATTTTCAAAAACTTCTCTCATTGCCTCTCTATTTAATAATAATGATCATGATCCGCCTTAAAATAGTTATCCCAGACAAATTCTGTTGTGTTTCCCAGGAATGTTCGTCCAACAATCAGCAGCAATCTCTTGTGCGTGACTATTCTTAACGTCCCATTGGTTTGCTGCAATGACTCTCATCAGAAAATCTGAGGCGGGTTATATTCTGGCAATTTATGTTATTGCCTCCGAACCAACCGTTTGAAAAAACTAGTTTCACGTTGCTGAGAATCACTTTTTGACGAGGGAGAGTATTGCCTTGCTCGGGTGATCTTCGCTTCTCTGCGGCAGATTTGTGCCAAACAGGCACTGTGTGTGTAAGCGAAAATACAATTGACTTGTGGGACCTCCCTTGCCAGTATCAACATATAAGACTTGACTCCTCTGATTTTAGTATGTTGTTGTTCACTTTGTGTAACGTTAAGTGGCTATTTTACAGATGTTTTGAATAATTTCGAAGTACTTTTTTTAATGAAAGTTTGTACGACTATGACATTCTGCAATGAATCAAATGCCTTTTCAAAGCCTACAAAAGCCTGGGGAATTGGTGCTTGCTATCCATTGTTTTCTTGCTGTAGGTTCTGATTGATAGAATGCATGTGTTCCATGGTAGCAACAACAACAAAAACCCCGCTGTGAAGCCCAATCATGTGAGTGGTTTATCGGCCGGCCTCTAAATTGTCCATAATTCAGTTCTCTGTACTTTTTGTGAATGATTTGAACATTATATATAAATATCACACGTACTTATATGTGTGAAATTCAACGATGCCTATTAAAAAAAAATCATCATTGTACTTCACGTATTTTTATTTTCAAATTCGTGCTGTAACTTATATCAGCATCTACGCACAAGTGTGAGGATTGTGCTGCTCTAAACCTGCCACGTGAAAAGAGTCACGCGTAACGCTGCGGCAGAGGCATGCAAGTGACGTCGCATGATTTATTCCGATATCCTTTAAGGATCCGTCTTACAACGGCTACTAGATTGTGGTCATCAGCCAGTGAGAAGTTACAATTTCATTCCGTTTCGGTTTTGTGTCAAAAAAGTAAAAAATCGTGTCGCTTGATAAATTAATTTGAACTGCAGCTGGGATCACGCCCGGGTATTCTAAAACTAAACTAATTTTTATTTTACAAGATAAGGCCCACTCAGCTATGTAGCTAGTTTTCAGAAGTGAACAGGCCACAAATGATAGCTCAACGAAGTGGCTTATCACGTGGACATTTATAGTATCCAAATAATCTAAACGCAAGTTTTTTAATTAAGGAGGGAAAAACAGGAAGACCCGGAGAAAAACCACACGACCACAGGTAGAACATGCAAACTCTAAATATACAGGCGTCAGGGTCGGGATCGGACCCGGCAAGGTAGTTAACATCTCACCACCATGGCACCCTCGATTAATTCAAACCCCCGGGGTGCTCAGCATCGCCGAGAACTGCCATTCCTAGAGACAAGGTACGTTAAGCTGTAGGTGGAGAAAATGAAGGCATCGTAAGATTTAAGTGTCGGTAAAACTTGATTGAAATCTACAATGCATTAAGGTCCACAAATGGTAAGTATTAAACCATCATGTGTCATTACAAATAACATGTATGCCCTCCAGCGGGTAACGCTGCACTGTATGTCCCTCATTCTAAAGATGTGAACATAACTGATGAAACCTGTTTGGGTAACTTCACATTTGCTGACCGTTTCAAGAATGTATTTAATTGAGGGCAAGATGGGTCTACACTTGTCAATGAACGCCACTGTAAAATATAACTTTGATGACTAATGAAATTCCGCTGCATACTCCAAAGTTTAAGACCGATCAAATGAACACGTGTTGATTGATCAAGTACTATATAATACACACTGCTTCATGTTCGGTTAAGAAATTTATTAATTTTAATATCTAATTCATAATTTATGTGTAAATAAAATGTAATATCGCATTCATCGTTCAGTATCAACGGTGTACGTGAGAAGGTTTCGTGTTAGTTAAATGTTATGTTTTTTTAAAACTAATGGCTCGATTACAACTCCAATGTCACGTGGAATAGCTTTTCTGCGATTTCAGAGCGTACACATGGACCTGCCACGGGACTTTACCCAGATTTAATGTTTGCTGAAGCCAGGGGAACGCGAGACAGTTTTTCTTCACTAACAGCTGGCTTTTGGGACACTGTTCCAGGAGACGGATAGATCAGACGGTGGGGCAGGGGGAAAGGCTTTGTGCTGCATTTAAAATGCAATGCAGGTTTGTCTTTTCACATCATTATTATTATGAGGTGATGTCACAGAGAAGCGTGCGTGGGGTTTAAGGATGCCTCGCTCGTTTCACAGTCAGAGGGCCACGAGTTTCAAACTCCAGGTTGTCAGTCGACAGGGTCGTTACTCCGCCATGGCTGGTAAAAAAAATGGTGCACCGCTACGTGTGGGAAAAGTCAACGGTGATTGTCCTATGAAGTGTACTGGCTCCTGCCACAGCGATGTGGACTGTCCTGCACAGAGACTCAGGGCTGTTGATGGAAATGAGTGCCACCGATGCTAATTTAAACTGGAGCCGGACACTTTGACTTTTGGCTTTGTTTATGAGCTGTTTTGGCTGATTTTAAAGAGCGCAATACATTTTTGTAGAATTTATAAAATACGGATGTAATTTCAGCTGGCACTTGTGAGGATTAATGATGTTTTACCGTTGAGTAAATACGTGTCAATGTGACACATTTAAGTCACAAGGCTTAAACTGCCGTGAGCTATTGCTATAATTCATTTCACGTGATGGGCCAGATACTCACACCAACACGTGCCATTATATAAATGCCATCTCTGGAATTGCGATGGTAAAATAGAATCAAAACTCAAAGTGTCTCCTCGCACAGGCGATAATTGATGGCTCTGAGTCAGTGGTGGGAATTCCATATTTCTATGGAAGAGGCCAGTCACTCCATAGAATGACATCACGTGTTTCACAAAGTGACATTAATTTTATTGCCGACGACGGGACAATGGGTCGCATCAACCCTTGGCTGGGATTGAACTGCCATTCTCCCGACTTTGAGCCAGGTTTTTGTCCACTGTACCACCCAGCCACTTTTATAACTGGCTAATAGGGGTTAATCGCCGGGGTTATGGTTTATGTTTGTCATTAGGATTAGCTGATTCGGGTCAGGACAGTGATTGAGTGTAGTGTTTGGAGTTTCGTATGGAATTAGATTTTGCGGAAAAAGAAAGGTTAAACAGCATTATGATCTATTTAGGGGGAATGCTTCTACGGCAGTTAAGAGAAAGGTTAGGTTAAGTGTTTGAGGTAGGATAAAGGATAGGGTCGTATGAATAAGGATTTAGGTAAACTTCCAAGCTTAGTGTTTGGGGTCAGGTTAAGCATCTGTGTTGATGTTAGAATGCAGGTCAGTTCCTTTCCCTGTGGTATTTCACTTCTTTGTGTTGCACAGCCAACGACCTTTCTGACATCCCGTCTCCTGGAACTGGTGTCAGAGGTCGCACACGGATAGGCTCCTTGCACGCTTGGCTTTAAATTGGGCGCGTGCGGCACAGGAGCGTACAGACCACTTACCTGCACACTTATCTCTGCCATGGGGCACTGGTCATACGGAGGAGTGATATTCAACTTGGTTCTCGTACTGCCAGCGTGCAACGTGGAATTGAGCGAACACCTCAATCAAGTGTCATGATTACGAGTCCGCCGCTCGCGGGAAGAAATGTCACCGGCAAGTTAAAAGATTTGTGCTTCCAAGAACAGCTTTTCAAATTGACCCCCCTCCCCTGCTTATCCATCAACGAACATTGAACAGAGCCCATTGTGCTGGAGCCTTCACAACAGATTGTATTCATTATCCATGATAATTCTAAGTAAATAGATATTTGGCATTGAAGGAAGACATTTTAATTCTATGCTTTTTCGATGTGTCTTAGTGTGATTTGGAAATTGATGTCAGAATAGAAATAATAATAATAACAACAATAATGCCAGCGCATTGTCAATACACTACTGGATGGAAGCTGCCCCATGCCATCTTGGTTATGGGGGTTGTTTGAACATACTTTACGAACGACGCTGTCGTCAGTGCAGACTGGTGAAGGTGGGGGCCCTGCAACTGGTTAAGATATCCCTGAGGACCCGAGTTTGATTCCTGCTCACGGCTAATAAGTGGTGAATATTTTTACCGCTCCTGGGCCTCCCCTAGATCGACTCAGCCATAAATGAGTACCTGATGTAGTGTAAACATCGCCACTAGGGAGACAAAGGTGGCTCGGTGTGGTGCTGGCCACCCACTCCCTCGTGTACCGTGTCAGCCTTCATTGATGATCACGAACATCATTTGGCCCGTTGAGGCTATACGGGGTACCTTTGTCTTTGTGCATTATTATATGTCATACATAGACACATACAAGGTGAATGAAGATCGAGAGGTGATCGTGGCCAATATTGTGAATGCCACTCAAGCCCACCATTGCTTTCTGTTAGACCTCACAGCTGCTGCATAGTCGACACCCAGCCGCCGCGCTACGCTCCCCTTGCGGTCTCGTACCACGTGGCTCTATGTTGATTGTGGTCCTCTGGGTGCCACTCGAGGGTGTTGTAATATAATATTCAATAGCTGTGCTTGGAAGCGCAAGTCCCAGTCTGTGTTGACGCTGCGTTTAACGAGGGGGGAATGTTCAACCGGCACCAGGATTCACGGTTGATCGGCTCAAGCACAGTCCATAGAACAATGATGTCTGCCCCCGTACTCTCCCCTCGTGGCATGCGTTTTAGACCACTCCCTGCCCCTGGGCGCAGGGGCTTCAATAGAATTAACACTGCGTGCTTGCTTTGTAAAGCTTTCCCCTTATTGCCATTGCACGCCATGTAGAATTCACACCATAATATTGTTGGCATTGAAGAGGGTGGGAAGGGTTGCTCAGATAGGTTTCAGAACGGGACAATGCAGAGGCATGTGTACAGACCAAATGAAAGGGTTTCTTTATGAGTCTCGAAATAAATTGGATATGTCGTGATATATGAATCAAAGCAGGTGCATTAGAGATCAGGCTGATTATATTACACATGTAAACAAGATCAGACCTGGCAGCAATTATTGTTGGCAAAGGGCTGAACATTCTGAGGCTGTTGATACAATGTTACGAGCATCGGCATTATGGGTCCGTGCGAGAGATGTGTGACTGCTACTGTTCGTATGACATTGTGAAATACATTTTGACCACCAAAATATATCTTTTTGCAAGGTGGACACCACCTTTGTGATGCCCTGTTTGTTTGTTCGTCAACGGTGGATGTGCTCACAGATAGACTGGTCCCCACCATCGGAATGTGAAAATGTCCACCATTGTCTCAGTCTAATTACTTAGATGAGCATGGCCCAGTGCTTGCGTGACCACGAGGGGATTTTGAGTGTATTATGACACACATGACATTATTACTGTTCACGTATTGTGCAATAAGATGGAAATGTATGCTCCCCCCTTAGAAGTCAGAGGTATTGCTGCCGATTTGAAAGTTTGGCATGAGGTGGTGGGAGCCATAAATCAGCCCTCGGCAAGCATAAATGCTTTTGCTTGGGTACAGGTTGACCTCTGCCACTCCCTTCTTGGTCCTTGTATTTCACGAGTGAGAAAGACGGTGGTTGGGAATGATGGAGAAAATGTCTCTACATTTGGTTACTGATAGGTGCAGCCCAAGCAGTCCTGTGAGGAGGACTGTTTTGGCTTACAGGGGGGGAGAAAGATTTGAGTAAAAAATCCACGTCGGGGGTAAAAATTAATCCATCCAGTGTCGTTGAAACGGAGGCCACTTTGTGGGAAGTCAGTCGTGGCTGTTATATGGATGGGATGGCATCTGCCATGGATGGGAATGTGGGGTTTCCACCACTGGTGGGCTCAGGGCCACCACAGTAGAGGGATGCCACCCCAGGCTCAATTGAACAGGAGACAGTTTGTGTCTTTTTGACAGTATCAAAAATGATGAAAAAATAATAACACAGGAGGTGTTAAGATGTTAAAACACCAAATAGATACCTTTTGCAAGACATCAAGTCCGCATTCACCACACATATTTGTGGCAAAACATGCAAACAAACATGCTCTGATAATATAAACATTGTCCTTGAAACCGATTGGCCTATACCAGAGACACCCTTCTTTTTGGCCTTGTCTCACCAGTGTTAGACCAGAGAACGCCAAAAGGCGAACAGTACAAAGAAAATGCAAGCATGAGAATCGTATAGCCCGGGCCGAGCAGTTATATCTATGGGACCTTTTTGGCAGTATATATTTTTTTTAATGATGAAAAATGGGGTTTTTACCCTTTCTGGGCAAATCACCCACAAAATACACCTTTTGTGTGGGTGTGCATCTGGAACAGCCCCAACCTCCTCGTGGAGTCGGACGGTAACACCTTGGGGGTGTTGTGAACAAGGCCTCGTGGCACACTCACAACCACCACGGAGACAAACGGCTCTGCCCCTTGACGCTGGGAGCACTTCCATCTCAAGTGCTTAATCAAGAACCGTGACATACCCTTGCCAAACTGCAACTTGGCGAATTGCAGCGGGGGGGGGGGGCTGAATCTCTGCCCTCGGGAAGCCTCCAGAAACGACAGGAAATTGTGATCGCTGGCTGCTGCCATTCCTCTGTCAGGAACTGAACTGGTACTGCCTGGATGACTATTGGAGGTCCAGTGGACTAGTTCTGGCTCCTGTCACAATGAGGGCATGGACAGTCCTCGACTCAGAGCAGGAAAGCATGAACCAACGTGGAGTGGCTCATCTTCTGCATTAAAGAATCAAGGGGGGCATGGGAGGTGCGGAAAGTCGTGACTTCAAAAAATTGCAGTCTCGCGTCCCTATCATCTGGAAGTGAGGAATGATGAAGGTGGTTGCATATATCTCAGCTGAGGAGGAACAATCGTGGAGGGATGGATGCAGGCAAGAAAATTGAGTCGGATGCCTTCTATGACCCTACTTTCCCATTGGCTAAAATGGCCCTTTGGGGTAGGATAACCTTAAGGGGCATCTTTAAATCCCGGGTACCACTTGGGAACCAGTGATTAAAATGCAGGGATCGTATCAGTTCTTCCGTAACAGTAGGAGACTGCTAGATGTCTCTGCAGCCTATTAGCTTTTGATTGTTAACACTGGTCCACCATCGGCGCATTCACAAAACTATCTCAGGTGCCGAGTCCAAGCAGGAGTATTCCCTCCACGAGTGGCGGATTGTGAGCCCATATCCTTGGCGTTTGGACCTACATACTGTGGGGCTGATCTGTCCATTGACCACCGGCTTGTCATCTATAAAATCGACCTCCTATTCTTCCACTTTTGGAGCGGGTGTCCACCTTGGATTCCAATCAAACCGACACGAGCCTGACCTCAGCTCGCTGTTGGAAGTTGCTGCTACAAATGACACCTTTGCCCCTCTGCTACTGAAGCCGAGGCAAACGTGGGTGAGGTTGAGGAGTGTGGCTCATGCAGCTGCCATGGCTGTGAGGGGTACAAGGGCCAAACCTCACCCGGAAACCCACGCTGACAGAAGAGGTATTTCAGCTGACTGAGAGAAAGTGGCAAGCCCATTCTCACCATTTTGGAACATTTCGTGGTCGAGAATATATCAGGGGCTTACCGCAGCCTTTGCTCGGAGGGCTTGAGAGCCATGCAGCACTCCACGAATGAGTGATGGGTGCGGGTTACCGAGGAGACTGAAGTTATCTCAGTATCCCACGATCATAAATCAATCCCTTAGTACCATCAGAAAATAGCCTTACTATTCCGAAGGGGAATAATGATGATATTATGTCTGATCCCACAGCCTGACAACATAATGGGGCAAGCTGCGATGGTTGTGGAGCCGCAAAGGTTGGTGGAAGTGGCCAACCCCTGTGAGTGGTCAGCTGATGTGCCATCTGCCGAGGATGTGCAAAGGGCGATACAAAAATCCGAAACGAGGAGAAGTATTGAATGGAGATGATCTCCCAAACACATTGCTGAGGGAGGGTGGTGATTGTGTGCTGGATGCCTTAAACGGCATTGTCTAAGCCAGATATTTCAAAACATTGGGGCCTGTCCAGTGACCTCCTGCTGGAGAACTTTCGACACCTCTCACGGCATCAAAGTGCACCTATCCTGGCACGAGCCCAGAGGTGATGCCACCGCCACCAAAGTGGTGAATGGCAGCTGCTGTTTTTGCTGTTGCTGCCACTGCCCTTGTTGTTATTGTTATTGTGTTTGAGCGATCGGCCTTGGCACAGGCCGAGCCGTTACCTTGGAGTCCTCGGCGACGACGGAGTTGAGGGCGATGACCTCGCTGGCGCCGGGCTGGTGGTTGCGGCCGTCCTCGTAGAGCGAGGCGCGGTGGGTCAGGTCGGAGTCCTCGTGAGCGCGCGCATCGAGGGCGTCCAGCTCGGCACGCGACAGGTGGTACACGATGCCCGCGCCGAACGAGTCGCCCACCACGTTCACCGACGTCCGCATGCGATCCCTGGGGAGTTGGGCACCAAAGGTAGAGTTAAAGATTCCCGCACGCAGGTAGCCTACGCGGGTGCACTGGGGCAAGTGCCGCTGGCGAGAACCTGTGAAGACCTGCACGCGCGGAGCACGGAGTGAGTGGTATGTGCCAACACCATGCCTGGCCGCCTTTGTCTCCCCAGCGCTGATGTTTACACACCCCAATAGGTAATGATGTGAGGCTGAAGTTGACTTAGGAGACGCCCAGCACCAGCACAGATATTTCTCACTTATTTTGGCCGAGAACCAGAATTGAACTCGGGCAATCGGATTCGTAGCGCAGTGAGATAACCACCACACTAATGCTCACTACCCACTAGGTAGGTAGAAAGACAAATATCCTCTGCATAGCCTATAATGGATGTTGGGCAATGCTATTAGTGAGCATCTACGAAGGTCGGCAAGGTACACGAGGGGGTGGGTGGCCAACACCAAATATTTGACACTCATGTTGACCGAGTGGCAATCGAACTTAGGTAACCGGGTTAACAGCATGGTTCTTTAACCACTGCATCACCACTAGGCAGATAGTCACACACATATTAATAAAGGGGGGGACAAGCAGTGAGTTATATAGCTCTGTTAGTTACAATGCGGGGCGCAGACAAATTAACATTCACAATAATACGTGGTACGATATTTGCCTAAAAAAAAATATTCTGCACAATTATGGAGGGTCATGCGTATCCAGAATAAACAGACAACAATGCATCAGAGAGTGAAGAATTTTCTAATCCAGAAAAGCCATCCCGCAGCTGTTCCAAACGTTGTAAAAAATAAAGAGAGGCCGAATTCATGACTTCCAGCACAAGTTCGGATTTCTATGGCGTCAAAGCCCCACCGCCATCTCACGACGCCGTACAGAACGAGCGGGCGTGTTTATATCAGGAGCCAATCGACCGGAGGCAGTGGTAAAATGGAAGATCTTGAACCTGGGGTAGCGGGCGGGTGAACATGTGACTAGATGTAAGTATCTTTGCCCATGGTACAACAGAACAGAACAGACCACACACACACACATACAGAGACCAGTGCCGGATTAAGCTAGTGCGGGGCCTATAGTATACATTATAAAGGGGCCCTAAATATATATTTTTTTAAACCACGTAAATATTAAAACACGCAATTTTTTAGTTGCATAGCAAGTAATTGTGTTTTTTCATTTGCTATACAGCCGGAAAATACGACAAATCACTAACCTTTAACACCCAGCCATTCATAAAAGTTTAAGGTGGTATAGTACTTTAGTAATAGAGCAAGTTCAGAATCACTGAACCGGAATTGATAGCTTGAAAGCATTTAGCGCGGGGCCCTTGAAAGTGCGCGGCCCGTAGCATGTGTAGCTACTTTTGCTACTAGGATAATCCGTCACTGACAAAGACACATATCCCCCCATATAGCCTTAACTGACTGTCGGGGCAAGTGCTGTTAGCGAGCACCTATGAAGGCCGGAACGGTACATTAAAGGGTGGGTGGCCAAGCACCACGCCGGACCGCCTTTGTGTTCCAAGTGGTGATGTTTACACACTGCACCAGGTACTCATTTGAGGCTGACGACCTAGAGGAGGCCTCGGACCGATTCAAATAAACGTCGCTGGTGTTGGCCGGGAGCGAAAATCAAACTCGGGTCACTGGGTTCGTAGCACAGCGCGCTAACCACTACACTACCGCTCCCCACCACCACACACACACGGACGCACAGACCGCACACACACAGACGCATGAGGACACAAAAAGTCCACAACAATAATTGCCGGCACCACACTCGTATGCAAAACTCTGCGTAGTAAACAATCCAAAATGATGCTCTGACCGGCGATGGCTAGATGCTCGATGCAGCGCTCCCGTATGATCCCACACGAGTGAGTTCGGCAGCTGTACGATACGGGAGCGTTGATCGATGTCAGATGGGAAACGTTTGGAAGGTGAGATTAAAACCTTTTCAAACCAGTAATTAATAATGGTAGACATTTATATTGTTCATATTAAAACAATAATCTGAATAAACATCTATACTTGACAAAATACCTTTTCTTCCCATTTGACCGCCTACCCCCATCTTTATCTGACCATGGGTCAACAGCACAGCTGGCTGAGGAGGAAGGGAGTTGACAAAGGCTTGTTGCGAATGTTCCGAGTCCTTGCAAACTTCTTCTTCTTTCATACGGCTAATGTAGCTGCAGAGCAACAACTACAATTTCACATTTAGATGGTCAAGCCAGATAACCGCGTCAGGGGCAGCGGAGTGGATCGCTGTGATGTCTCCTTCGTATTTGTGGATCAGACATTGCGTCGTTATATGTTGTACGGTCTGTACTTGATGACCACAGTCGCAGACGACTGGAGAGTTTCTCATTTTCCATTTTTCGCATCAGGTATCCGCATCTGCCATGGTTTGTAAAGTGGCTGCCGTTTAGGGTGGGCCATGAGCAGCTTCGTGGAAAATCAAACCCATGGATCGTCCGAGTTGGGATGCATCGCTGTGATGTTGCAGTGTGGGGGAGAGGAACTCACAGCAGCCAGTCCACAGCCACCAGCAGGCTGATGTCGGAGGTGGGGAGACCCACGGCGGTCAGGATGAGCAGCATTGTGACCAGACCCGCGCTGGGGATGCTGGCGGCTCCCACGCTTGCGAGCGTGGCAGTCAGACTGTTGTGGAGGACAGGGAAAAGAATGAACTTCACTCCCATTCCAAGCACGATGAAGCAAAGGGAATAAAAAAAGCAAAGAGCCTCACATGCTCACGGTTGCTGGCAATGAGCCACTGATAGGATATAATTCCACCGTCAGTAGAAATACATTAACAAAAGGAACAAATGAAGTGAATTTTGAAATTAAGTGATTTGAGTTTACACTTAGAAATGTTTACCAATAAACATCTCCTTTGCCAAAATGTTTAGCCGATATTACACAAAGCTTTGGAGCATCTATGTCAGAGGTCAAAGGTTAGAAGTTAAAGGGCATCAATATTTTCCGAATTCCTCCGCAGCAATTAAGAATCCCCCCCATTCAACGGTAAAAACAGCATGCAACACAAAAACAGCTGCCACGACTGGGAGCCGTGATGCCAGAGGACACGGTGGTAGCCAATAGCTTGGCAGCACAGGAAATGAGGCGGGCGAAGGTGTGGTTTCACGTCAAACAGGACCAGAGCCCCAGGAGATACAATTGGCCGAAGCTGAATATGAAGATTTGTAACGTTGCTTCATTCCTGCAGCCCGAAGGCTATCAGGGACAAGTAGCAGACCTGCAAATACCTATTTTCCATTGGCATATCTGAGCCAAGCCAGTGTGCGAGGCGCTCGTGGTAATGGGCGAGTTTTCCCACTGGCTATTTAAACATGCTGAACTGGAACCAAAACGGTGACACGCTGGCCTCACAGGAAGTCAACTGAATCTGGCTCAGGGGCCAAGCAGGGCCGAAGGCGAGGCTAATGATGCATTCATCGCATGTGACGTCAGTCGGTATACCGTGAGCGCAGCGTCACCCCGTCATCTACATGCACTGGAAGGTTATGTGAAGTCCATACACTGTGACAAGACAAATGTTCCCTGTATAGTCTTAAAAGACTGTTAGTGAGTAGCACCTATTACGGCTGCCACGGCGCACGAGGGGGTGGATGGTCAGCACTACGCCCGGTCGCCTTTGTCTCCTTATTGGCGATGTTTATACACCGCACCTGGACCTCATTTGAGGCTGAGTCGACCTAGGGGAGGCCCTGGACCAGTTCACATACTCGTCACTGGTGTTGGCCATGAATGGGAATCAAACTCGGGACGCCGGTTTTGTAGCGCAGCGCGCTAACCGCTACACTACCGCTCCCCAAAATACACTGTGAGGACTCGGCGTCACCTAGGGGCGTCATCTACGTGCGTCTCCGCTCCTTTATTACGGACGACATTAGCAGCACGGCTCGACTCCTGCAGTGGAAAAAAAATATTTAAATTGAACTGCATTTTACCACTATGAGATCTCTTTTACCAGTGGCAAAATATAATAGTAGGTTTTTACCCTTTTAACTGGTACAAAACTGACACCTTTATTCAAGGCATCATGTTTGCAATGACCACAACACAAGTAGTCAAAAAAGCAAACAAAAAGAAGCAACTCTGATAAGGATGATAATATGCACTGTCCTTGAAGTTGATTGGCCCACACCCGAGACGGCTTTCTTTAGAGCCTAGTCCCCATTGGTGTAGGGCCAGATGACACCAGAAGGCGTACAACTCAAACACAGTGCAATATCAGAGTATTGAGAGCTCGGGGTAAGCATTTACACTATGAGATCTCTTTTACCAGTGGCAAAATATAATAGTAGGTTTTTACCCTTTTAACTGGTACAAAACTGACACCTTTATTCAAGGCATCATGTTTGCAATGACCACAACACAAGTAGTCAAAAAAGCAAACAAAAAGAAGCAACTCTGATAAGGATGATAATATGCACTGTCCTTGAAGTTGATTGGCCCACACCCGAGACGGCTTTCTTTAGAGCCTAGTCCCCATTGGTGTAGGGCCAGATGACACCAGAAGGCGTACAACTCAAACACAGTGCAATATCAGAGTATTGAGAGCTCGGGGTAAGCATTTACACTATGAGATCTCTTTTACCAGTGGCAAAATTTAATAGTAGGTTTTTACCCTTTTAACTGGTACAAAACTGACACCTTTATTCAAGGCATCATGTTTGCAATGACCACAACACAAGTAGTCAAAAAAGCAAACAAAAAGAAGCAACTCTGATAAGGATGATAATATGCACTGTCCTTGAAGTTGATTGGCCCACACCCGAGACGGCTTTCTTTAGAGCCTAGTCCCCATTGGTGTAGGGCCAGATGACACCAGAAGGCGTACAACTCAAACACAGTGCAATATCAGAGTATTGAGAGCTCGGGGTAAGCATTTACACTATGAGATCTCTTTTACCAGTGGCAAAATATAATAGTAGGTTTTTACCCTTTTAACTGGTACAAAACTGACACCTTTATTCAAGGCATCATGTTTGCAATGACCACAACACAAGTAGTCAAAAAAGCAAACAAAAAGAAGCAACTCTGATAAGGATGATAATATGCACTGTCCTTGAAGTTGATTGGCCCACACCCGAGACGGCTTTCTTTAGAGCCTAGTCCCCATTGGTGTAGGGCCAGATGACACCAGAAGGCGTACAACTCAAACACAGTGCAATATCAGAGTATTGAGAGCTCGGGGTAAGCATTTACACTATGAGATCTCTTTTACCAGTGGCAAAATATAATAGTAGGTTTTTACCCTTTTAACTGGTACAAAACTGACACCTTTATTCAAGGCATCATGTTTGCAATGACCACAACACAAGTAGTCAAAAAAGCAAACAAAAAGAAGCAACTCTGATAAGGATGATAATATGCACTGTCCTTGAAGTTGATTGGCCCACACCCGAGACGTCTCGGGTGTGGGCCAATCAACTTCAAGGACAGTGCATATTATCATCCTTATCAGAGTTGCTTCTTTTTGTTTGCTTTTTTGACTACTTGTGTTGTGGTCATTGCAAACATGTGTGGGCCAATCAACTTCAAGGACAGTGCATATTATCATCCTTATCAGAGTTGCTTCTTTTTGTTTGCTTTTTTGACTACTTGTGTTGTGGTCATTGCAAACATGATGCCTTGAATAAAGGTGTCAGTTTTGTACCAGTTAAAAGGGTAAAAACCTACTATTATATTTTGCCACTGGTAAAAGAGATCTCATAGTGTAAATGCTTACCCCGAGCTCTCAATACTCTGATATTGCACTGTGTTTGAGTTGTACGCCTTCTGGTGTCATCTGGCCCTACACCAATGGGGACTAGGCTCTAAAGAAAGCCGTCTCGGGTGTGGGCCAATCAACTTCAAGGACAGTGCATATTATCATCCTTATCAGAGTTGCTTCTTTTTGTTTGCTTTTTTGACTACTTGTGTTGTGGTCATTGCAAACATGATGCCTTGAATAAAGGTGTCAGTTTTGTACCAGTTAAAAGGGTAAAAACCTACTATTGCATTTTACCAGTTAAGACCCACTGAGCTCTATAGCTCTTTTTCAGAAGGACCTAAGCACAAATTATAGCCCAATGAGGCGGCTTATCACGTCGCAGACATTTATAGCAGCCAAACAGTCTAAACGCACATTGTTTTTAAATGTAGAGAGAAAAACCGGGGAACCCGGAGAAAAATCCACGTGACCACGCGGAGAGAGTACACGCAAACTCAAAACACACAGGCATCGCCAGGGTCGGGGTCGAGCTCGCAACCTCCTGCATACCAGGCGAGGTAGTTAACATCTCTCCACCGTGGCACCTCCGAACCCGGCTGGCCCGGAGTGGCTCGGTTATGCAGCGGGAAAGGTGAAGCAATCGTGCGAACCGCCTCACCTCACGGTGACGATTTGCCCACCGTCGAGCACCACGCCATTCATCTGCGCGATAAAGATGGCCGCCACGGCCTCGTAGAGGGCGGTGCCGTCCATGTTGATGGTGGCTCCCACGGGCAGCACGAAGCGAGTGATCCGCTTGTCGATTCCCAGGTTCTCCTCGAGGCAGCGGAACGTGACGGGCAGCGTGCCGGCACTGCACACGGCGGCGGCGGGGATTCCACCGACGAGAACGGCGCCACGGTTACACGCCATCGCCCGTCGCCGTCGTCACGGCAACAACTCAATGCATTCGTCAATCACACTGCTCTTAAGGGAAAACGCGCATAACAATAGGTGACTTTTTGCTCTCACAATGCCTCGTCTTCATGAGCTATTGTTATTTGTGCTCATGCACTCTAGAAGATGCAGTGTCGTGCAAAAAAACACATTTAGTTTTTATGAATAGGGATAACACCTTCAATGGGTTTGCTCACATTACCTGCATTTTGAGGTATCTGCTGTCGTGGGAAATCTGTAAGTCATCCTGGACATTAAGAGTCGCAGTTTTTGTCGGCTGTGTAATAGTAGATCGCTCAAGTCTACAAAGGAGCGTGACATATTCTTCTTTTAATGATATGTGGTGGGTTTTCGTACCTCAGAGGCGTCAACCCTCTACACCACCACAGCCATAATTAGTGTAGCGTCACGCCGGCCATATTGTCAAGGCCTCCATAAATATTGTGAAATCATCATCTTATTGCTACAATTGGTAGAATATTTGCTATATGTTGTGAATTGCATCATCATGGTCATCACCACGATTATCAATTATGATGATCATCATCTTTGTCCAACATTTCATTGTCATTGTAACCTTTAACATGTTGTCACCATTGCCATCATAGCATCATGTTTGTCAATTACAATCGCAATCACCTCAAACCACCAATTTGCCCTTGTCCAATTACATCATCCTCACATCCGCATTATCATCATCATCATCACCATCTTTGTAAACATTAATCATCATTTATGAGGATGATTGACAAGGTTATCAACTGTACAACGAATATCCTGGGACAAATAGTATGAGTCAGTACCTATACAGGCCAGCATGTCACACAAGTAGATTGGTGTCTCCAGCACCAAGCCTGTGTTCACACACCCCACCGGGTATTCGTTTAAGGCTGAGTTAACCTAGAGGAGGCACAGTGCATGTTCATACACTACTTGCCACTGATGTGGATGTTTGGAGATAAAAACCCAGGTCATCGTGATTGTAGTGCACTAAACAAACCACTACACAGCTCCGCATGACAATCATATCACAAGCAACACTATCCCCACAACTCAGCTTGACAATCATCACTTCACAATCACATCCACCACGATCACCAGGACTATCAAACGAACAAAGATCCCTCAGTATAGCCTGAACAGACTCTTATGGCAAGTACTGTTAGCGAGTATCTGTGAAGGCCGGCACGGTACATAAGGGTGGTCAGCGCCACACCCGACTGCCTTTGTCTCCCCAGTGGTGATCTTTACACACTGCACCAAGTACTCATTTGAGGCTGAGTCGACCTAGAGGAGGCCCAGGTATGGGTCAGATGATCGTCGCTGGTGTTGGCCCTGACCGGGACTCTAACTCGGGCCACCAGTTTGTAGCGCAGTGCGCTAACCGCTACCACTACCGCTCCCCACCACCACTATCACCATCACCACCATCAATCATCACCACCACGAGCACGATCGTCATCGTCGCTGCAGACGCCGCTGCTCGAGAGACCTGGAGGCCGTGCCCAGAGCCGTGATCCAGGCCTGGAAGATCCCGACGAAGAACTTGTAGGGGTTCTTGCGCGTGATGCTGAAGTAGATGAGCGGCAGGATCATGGCTCCGTGGATGATGAGGCCCACGATAACCGTGATCATGTACATGCCCAGCTGCCGCGCCACCACCTCCAGGTCCTTGATGTCCGAGATCTTTCCGCAGATGAGCGACGCGATGCCAAAGGGAGAGTACCTGTGATCCGGCGAAGTCGCAAAACGATGGTGGTGGCGGCACATAATAATAACTTAGTACATTTAGTATTCGAATAATCATACATTACGATGAAAAATTAATAGGCTTTATCTTTTCTGGCAATAATACAGGCGGTGTTAAGATGTTAAAATGCTAAATAGATGCCTATCGCAAGGCATCAAGTCTGCATTAACCACACATGCTTGTGGTGAAACATGCAAAAAAAACACGCTTTGATGATAATGTACGCATTGTCTTTGAAACTGATTGGCCTACACCAGAGACAGCAGCCTTCTTTATGGGCTTGCCTTTGTACCAGTGTGAGACCAGACAACACCAAAAAGAGAACAGCACAAAGGCATTCCAAATATAAAAGCATCAATAGCTCAGATTGAGCGGTTGTATCTAGATTATAGTAAATTTATTTCTAGAGGATAATTCTTTTTTTCATCATTTTGTGCATGCATGTATGTCCGCACACTTGTGTGTGTGCGCACACATAGGCGTGTACGCTCACTGGCAAAAATGTTCTCATAGATATAATGAATTATATTTACAAAACGTCTTTTTACAAGATACTCAACGCGCTGCCCATCACAATACATTGCCAAATTGAATGTTGGCTAAGGGGAAGGAATAGCTAAGAAGTATGGGAGCTCACTGAGAAAACCGAAAGCAAGAGAGAATCGATGCGTCTTGAGGCGGGGTTGTACGCTGAACTTCTTTCGCACTGATGGTAAGAAAAAAGGCCGCCGCTGGGAGGATGACCGGAGTTTGCGTGATGGTTTACTCTCCTTGACGAGATCAGCGAGGTATTGTGGTCCACGTTGGGCCAACGTTGGCCATGTTCGATGGTTAAAGTGTTCACTCACCACATGATCATGATGACGAGGCGCATGATGATTTCGTTGAGGATGCTGAAGAACTCGACCATGAGTTTCGCCTGATCTCCCATCTTCCCCATGATGATGCCAAACGCAATGAAGAAGCCAATGAGACCTGCATGTCACGTAGAGTGTAGGACGTGGTTGCTTACCTTGCGTCTTTATATATAAGATCAAGTATATATATGTCTGTATATTGAACTTCTTTCACACCGTACATCACCAACCGTGCTAATCGGAGGTGCGGGGGTGAGCACGACCAAAGTAAAGGGCTATCCTTGCTCAAGTGAGCAGTGGGCATCAGCCAATAGGGGAAATTCAACATTGATGGGGTGGGCTCTTGTCTGGCTCCATAAAAGACTGGGAAGATGATGGACTCAGTTGACCCCCAGCTCCACCTATACCACTCCATCCGCATCGCAAGAACATTTACGGTTACATCAGATGGCCATTCGAAGGTTCTCTAAACCTCAGTGCTATTTTAAAACGAGGTACATTAAAATTGCATGCAAGCTAATATTATCACGATGCATTGTAACGCGGGAATAAATCGTTGACGCAATGAAGTACAAATTGACATTTTACAAATGTGGTTTAGTTTTACATAAGTTATAAAGCAATGCTCTTTAGTCTCAATGGCCTTTTCCCACTTTGTTCTCATTGTAATATTTCATTTTAATCTCTAATTACATTGAGCAGAATTTATCAGTGGTTTGACAAAAGAGCTGTACGTGCATACATGGTTACACATACACGTGTACATACAGCAACTGACGTTTCTTCAGGGTGTTTAATGCAATCGTTTTTTGCACGTCGCTCACTATTCAACGAGCTTACGTGTCGCCCAGTCACTTCGATGAGTGTTTGCCATCACAGCCGCGCGTCTCCCTGTGAGCGGCCAGCAGGTCAGCGCTGACATCATTACCCCCTGCCACGGTGCGTGGGCGCATAATTGACTACAATTTTCCTGAATTGTGCTCGGCATCATTTAGCTAGCGGCTCGCGAGCTGACGTGAGCACAGCCGGCGGCGATAAAGGGATGGGGAAGGGGGGGGGGGGTCTGTCTCTTGGGTGGGCAGAATCATAATGAGAGCATTGGTGCCTATTTAGAGACAGAGGAGGAGTTATGATACCAATGAGCCACAGCGGTCGTGGTGCGTGCGCGCGCACGGAACTTGCTGCGAAAGTGTGCGGAGGACTCACCCAGGACGTTCATGCCATCCTTGAAGATGAGGCCCTTCTTGATTTCGAACAGGGGCTCGCTTGGCTCGCTCGAGTTGCTGCCATTGAGGGCCAGCGTGACCGACTCAAAGAGGTCGCTGGCGATGGTTGTAGCAGCTCCCGTCACGTTGAGGCCCTCTTCCTCGTCCGGCTCATCTGGAGTCACCGCCACTTTCTTGGTCACCGTTTGAATCTTGAACAAAAAAAAGTGCAAGCGCAGCCGGTGAATGTTAGAGGTTACCGGTCGGTTAAGTCAGATGATCTGAAGTTAATAGATCTGGGAGGGGAGTAAAGACCATTTGGTAAAGGGTAACAACTAGAAATGATAGAGAAAGTAAAATATTGGAGGCTCCTAGATTGGACCAAGTAGAGGGAAACTACAGCATGTTGGCCAGGATTAATGGTGACCGACTTCAAGGATGGTGATGGACAGGACGTTGGAGGGTGCTAGGGGGAAGACGAGGATGGTGATGGAGAGGACACTGGGGGTGCTAGGGGGAAGACGTAGACGGTGATGGACAGGACACTGGAAGTGCTAGGGGGAAGACGTGGACGGTGGTGGACAGGACACTGGAAGTGCTAGGGGGAAGACGTGGATAGTGATGGACAGGACACTGGAAGTGCTAGGGGAAGAACAAGGACAACCACGATCTGACTGCAAGTCAGGCATCAAACACTGGCGAGGGATGGAAGCTATCGTAGTTGAAGGATGTGGTGACGGACTGAGAGAGAAGTGGAGAAACAACTGGCAATGTCGGTGAGGAAATTCCACACTCCTGATGTGGGGACCAGTCCCTCCATGGGATAGGCACCGTTGTCTTTCCACAAAGTGCTTCCAGGAAAACTTATGGAATATTGATCAGAGTAAGCCAGAACTCAGTCAGACGTCAAATATATGATAAATACACAAAATTTTAATTTAAAAACAAAAACTGCAACAGAGCTCCAAATAGAACTGAAAGTAACATTAAAAGTATTAACATCACGAATGGAAAATTTTAAGAAAAGCCACCGGAGCGCAACCATGGCCACACAACCCAAAAACTCTGGACCACACATTGGACCACAATAGCGCTCCTTCAAACGGCGGAGGAATAGCAGCAAACCTAAACACACACTTCTCTCCCCACTGAAGCCTTCCCATGGCTAACGGACTTCGACATTGGCAAGCAGACGCCTGAGCACATTGTCCTGCAAAAATATAGAATGGTACTGACCGAATGACTCAGCAACAGGCACACATAAAAAAAAACTAGGAACAGTTTTTATTTTACCAGGTAAGGCCCCACTGAGCTGTGTAGATATTTTTCGGAAGCGACCTGGCTATCACAAATTATAGCGCAACAAAGTGGCTTATCGCGTGCAAATTTATCGCAGCCAGACACTATAAATGCACGTTTCTTAATATGGAGTAAAATCCAGAGAACCCGGACAAATTTACACGCAACCACAAACTCCAAATATACAGGCATCAGGGTTTGAACCCTCTACCTCCTGTGTACCAGGCAAGGTAGTTAACATCTTGACATATTTTACAAGCGAGCCAGTGACCAGCAGCCCCCGTCCTCTATTTATAACTGCACATCTGTAAACAAAAAAGAGCTTTATAGCTCATCGGTTTCCTCCAGCATAAATAAATATTCTAATGAAACGGATTCTCCATACCTGCTGAAAGCAGGCCTGCACCAGGTTCTCGGGAAAGAGGTTCCGGATGAGGTCGAGGAAGGCGTCCAGGCTGGACACATCCTCGTTGAGTTGCCCCCTTCCCAGCTGCTTCTTGAGCTTGGGGTTGCCCGGGTGGATGGCCAGCACGAGGATGACTCCCAGCACGGCCGCGATCACCGTGGTCGACATGTAGTAGGCCATGGCGCGCGTGCCCATGCGCCCGCTCGACTTGGCGTCAAGGCCGGACAAACCTGCATAGAAGTCCCGCCCGCTCTTACTCGGTTTTCGGCGCACAAGTCAAGATGGAGATGTCTCCCACCCCCGCCTCTCCCCCCACCCCTTCCCTTGCCCTAAAAATGTCATGCTTCCGATCGTTGCCCCGACATTAGTATGGTCGTGAATCCAACTTTCTCCCTTTCTCCTGCCCCGTGAGCACTGGGCCTCGGGGCTTTCATCCGTGGAATATCTGTGCCCCCACTCCCGTTTTTATCATTCAAACTCTGTACTGGATTCTTGTAAAAAAAAAAAAACAGATGGCCTAAGCCATTGGTGTCAGGTGTGGCTGTATTTAAAAGTACAACGGGCAGTTGTGGATTTGTCATTCTAATTATGATGACATGATGATAATGATGGTGGTGATATGATTATTACAATAACACAATAATATGAATCCTTCAAGATGAACTCAGTCACGGCGCTCTGCCCGCCGATTGGTCACGCGACACCGTTACCTGTGATGAGACTGGAGATGATGAGCGGCAGGATGAGCATCTTGAGCATCCGCATGAGAATGTCTCCGGGGAAGGAGATGACCATCACGATGTCGGGGTGCAGCGGGGCGACCGAGCGCAGTGCCATGCCGCTGAGGGCCCCCATGATCACGCCTGGCGCCGCAGAGGGTGGGGAGAGAGAGAAGTGATAAACCTCCTCGTCGGTCATCGCCGGACCTTATTGCAAACTTAGCTTCGTAAATGTCACGGCATTGTCACGATGCAGCCCCGCAAAATGAGAGTCCCCTACGTTTCTCTAAGAGCGCCTTCTCCATTTCCAATGCAGCAGGCATTGGCCAAGGGGTGGATGGCATTTGTTTTATTTCGTAGATCTCGGTACAAATCAGAAGAAACACGGGAACAAGGGCATACAACAATTGCCGTTGCAGCTGATGGCAAAGTAAAAATCCCTGATGAAGAATTATCTTCAACCTATAAATAGATGGAGCAAGTATTTTACATCAATAGTATATTACAGCGTTAAATCCAGGCCATTACTGTGTGATAGCTTTCTGGTGGATCATGGAAGCCCGCTGAGGTCCACCGAAAATGGATCGCAGTGCTTGGTGTGTTGGTCACTGCTGCACTAGAGGGTTTTGTGACCTACTCTGCTATGCTGTCCAGGAATCTGGGAAGAGGTGGGAGTCCCCACACTTTGCCCAACCACACGCGCACGTGCCTGCCAATTGGCTAACTCTGTCGCGTCACATGGTACTGCTGGGTGGACAGAGACGGCGGGAGGGGGGGGATTTTATAAACGTCCCCAATGCATACTCTTAGGTTTTTTTCGGTAAAGTCACGTAGGCAAAATTTTTTTTAATTACTTTTAGTATTTTTTTTTTACCTACGTGACTAAGAGTATGAATCCTTGCAGTCACGAAAGCTTCAAATCTGGAATCCCCAATGCAACCGCCGGCGACGTCTGGATTGCAAGCCCAGTGTGCAACCGTGACACCACGGCAGCCTCCACAGATTCACAAGACACTGACAGAAGACTGACAGAACACTGGGAAACTACTCAGGTAACCGTTTGAGGTGGGACTGGCGGATTACTCAGAGATCACTAACGAGTGTGGCAAAAGCATCCAGCTGCTGCCGAGCGCTGAAAGAGGGTTCATTAAAACTCATCTGTGTGGACTGTGAGTGTAATCCACTCACATGCAGGGGTTGTGTATGTCTGAGGCGAGATGTTAACTACCTCGCCCAGTATACAGGAGGTCGGGGGTTCAATCCCGACCCTGACCGCCTGTATATTGGAGTTTGCATCTTCTCTGTCCCCATGGTCATGTGGATTTTTCTCCGGGTCCTCTGGTTTTTCCCTCCATATTTAGGATCATGCATTTTGAGTATTTGGCTGCTATACATTTCCACTTGATAAGCCACTTCGTTGAGGTATCATTTGTGGCCAGGTCGCTTCTGAAAAATCGCTATATAGCACAGTGGGCCTTACCTATTAAAATAAAAATTGTTTAGTTTATAGTTTTATGAAGAACTTCTTTTCACCATTCGTAGCCAACCATGCTAATTCGGAGGTGCCTTTCCTCGAGACGCCCTTGTTTTCACCCAAATAGCACACGCGTGTGTATTTTCATCTTCCCGTCATCAGTGGTGATCGACACACGTTCTATTTTATAATAAATCTACAAAAGGGAAAATGATTGCATTGTCCATGCTCCCTGCGACACAGCCACCTCTGTTAATTTCAAATGGCTACATATTCCGAGAATGCAGGGAACTTCTCAAGAAATGCAAATTGGCAATCCACTTAGCCATTGACATTGAGGCACATTGAACCCCACGTGGGGTTTACATTCTCCATAATACAGGTTTTTTTTTTGGTAAGATTGCATAAATATAAATGTGTCGGTCAAACCCGCCACCACCCGACAGCCAATAAGTAAGGTTTGTCACGTAAACAGAACATACCAATTTGTTACTAGTACAGCACACCGGTGGGTTGGAGAGCAAATCCACAAAATTTACAATCTGAGTCGGGTGGTGGCGGGTTTAACGACACATTTATATTTACGCAATCTAACCCCCCAAAAAACCTATATTATGGAGAATATGGTGGGACCCCGGGGTCCCGAATAAACGGGAGTCAAAATCGAAATAAATGTATTTATTTATTTTTGCCAACTCCATCCCAACTCGCACATAAACGCCGCAACCCACCAGAAATCAATCCTCTCGTTCTTCACCAAGCACCCGTCGTTGCCAAAATTGCCGTAGTCATAAACTAAACTTTGATTAGCGCATCGCGTAGAGCTCGTCGAGAGGAATAGATTGCCGTATCGTTCGCCTTCAACAGACATAAAATGACGTCGCAACGTAGTTTATGCGAGAGCTGGGGGCTTATGGGATCCCGGGGTCCTGCCATAAGGTTAATTATGCCCATTTATCTGGTTTTATGTGAACAATGCAGTGGTTTCTACCTGATTACTTCCACAATGTTTTTATGCTGTGTCCTATTCCAAACTTTCCAAATGACACACCCTATTCTGTTGTGGTTGACTTTCGCATCCTCCACATTGCACCTGTATTCACAGGTATGTTTTCCATTTGCCTTGTGAGAGCAATATCTATCGCTATTCCTGCTTCAAACAAACCTCATATTAGCATCGTAGTTGACTCCTCTAGGATTGTGAAAAAATTTATGTCGCCCATCTAATGCTGCCCTGCTAATATAAAATTCTCTTGACCCATTTCATACAACCTAATCTATTTTTTTAATTACTATCGAACAAAAGGCCTATACTTCCTCCACAAATCTCATTTTCCCATTGGATCTGTGACAATCTCACAGGAGACCTTTACCGGCACATGTTTTCCAAAAGAGTTGGAAAATAATTTCATTATAATTGACATTTCCTGAAACTCATTCCTGCCCATCTCTAAAAATAATGATTTCCAGCCACTAATCCTAAAAAGTGTGACTCAATATTCACTTCATCAGCCAACATCTCTTTCGTGCTCGGTGTAAGAAAAAAATTAAGTAGTTGTAATATCGCGAGTAATTTTTCTTGCACATGGGTAAACATCGGTTGCAGTGGGGACGTACGCTCCGTGACCGACAACGCGTAATGCGGCCGCGGTGGGTGCAACGTTTGCATGCCACCCACCACCGTCGCGTAAGTGAATTGACGTTAATCTCTCAATTTTCGCCGGCGGCCGCACACCAGCGTACCACGACTCGGGCTGTCAAGCGAAATGCCAACTGCACTGTGCGCCTCTGCAGTCTCCGGCAGCCTCACGGGTCACATGCTCAGAGGGGCTTACGTGCCCGGCCGACGGGAAGATTGAAGGATTTGTTCCCGTGAGTAATTTTGTGCGGATTTACACGGCGTGGCAGAATCCACGCAGTGGGTGGTGGGAGGGGGTGTGGCGAAAAGCAATCTGCATGATGTTGCGCTGGCATGGAGCCATGACTCCACACTGATCCTAAACGAAAGCAAACACTTAGCGTACGGTTCTGCGGTTCAACCTCACCAGCAATGCCGTGGAATCCCCGTTTACTCGGAGCATTCCTATCTTGGCATTCAAAGCAATTAAACGGAATTCTAAGCCAATGAAGCAATCAGCAACGGGCAATCCCTTTCTACGCTGGAGGTCGTGAGGGAAGTGGGTGAAACCACTTCTTGGCGGTTCCACAAACCCCAACTTGACTGGAAGCATTCCTGTTTGCCATTCAGAGCGATTCTAAAGAGTTCCCCGGTGCGCCGATCAGCGCTGGGAAGTGCTGATCGGTGCATTGGAGGTCGTGAGGTAGTGGGTGCAACACTCCACATTCCTATTGCAGGAGTTAGTTACTTGTTAATGAAGCCTCCGTGTAACGTTAAAACAATCGCCGTGTTTTTGTTCGTTCATCAAGTGAAGGCATTTCCGTCTTCTGATGAAAGGAATCAGCTTGCCATCGACAAAGTCGCGTAAATTACATATCATCGTGACGAGGAGACAGACCCTCCACAGAGCAGGCTCTGCTCACGTCCCACCATGTAGTGGATCTCGTTCAATGGTGGCGGCAATCTCCTCCCCATCAATCTCCCCCCCACCAATCTCCCCCCCACCAATCTCCTCCCCACCAATCTCCTCCCCATCAATCTCCCCCCCACCAATCCTCTCCGCACCAATCCTCTCCCCACCAATCTCCTCCCCACCAATCTCCTCCCCACCAATCTCCTCCCCACCAATCTCCTCCCCATCAATCTCCCCCCCACCAATCCTCTCCGCACCAATCCTCTCCCCACCAATCTCCTCCCCACCAATCTCCTCCCCACCAATCTCCTCCCCACCAATCTCCTCCCCATCAATCTTCCCCCCACCAATCCTCTCCCCACCAATCCTCTCCCCACCAATCTTCTCCCCACCAATCTCCTCCCCACCAATCTCCTCCCCATAAATCTTCCCCCCACCAATCCTCTCCCCACCAATCTTCTCCCCACCAATCTCCTCCCCACCAATCTCCTCCCCACCAATCTCCTCCCCACCAATCTCCTCCCCACCAATCTCCCCCGCACCAATCCTCTCCCCACCAATCTCCTCCCCACCAATCTCCTCCCCACCAATCTCCCCCTCACCAATCTTCTCCCCACCAATCTCCTCCCCACCAATCTCCTCCCCACCAATCTCCTCCCCACCAATCTCCTCCCCACCAATCTCCCCCTCACCAATCCTCTCCCCCCCAATCCTCTCCCCACCAATCTCCTCCCCACCAATCTCCCCCTCACCAATCCTCTCCCCACCAATCCTCTCCCCACCAATCTCCTCCCCACCAATCTCCCCCTCACCAATCCTCTCCCCACCAATCTTCTCCCCACCAATCTCCTCCCCACCAATCTCCTCCCCATCAATCTTCCCCCCACCAATCCTCTCCCCACCAATCTCCTCCCCACCAATCTCCTCCCCACCGGGTGTGGCCCTGACATCGCTACGTACGGTGCCAAATAAGTTCAACATACACACATGAAGAGGGCTGCCTACGTCAGGGCCCAGCCTGTCAGTGAATTAGCACAAGGAAAATATGGTTCTCACTCAGTGATGACATTCCACGTTCCTATGGCAGGGCAATGTGTTGTACAATCCATTGATAATTTCTCAATAAGTGGTGGAAATTCCACATTCCATGGGCGGAACAAGAATAACTGTCATTTCTTTGTACCAAGCTATGTGGCTTTACTTGGTGGTATTGATTTGATTGACCCCAAAAGGAAGATGATAGTGAGGAGGAGGATGCAGAGTTGACTCACCAGGATTTGAACTCGCAACTTTGTGACTGTGAGGCCAGTGCTCTTACGCATGAGCTACGGGACAACAGAATCTGTCCGGCACACGAGAAACTCTCCGACGCGGCGGTCTCATTAGGTGTAGCGAAGCTTAGACTGTGAAACAACACGCAGTGCGTGTCCTGGCTATATTAACAGGGGACCTTTCATAAGCTGAACCACCCCAATTAGGGATATTAGCAACAGTAGCAACAGTGGAGCAGCAGTGCAGCGGTTAACACACTGCGCTATGAGCCCAGCGATCTGCGTTCGATTATAACCACCCACGGCTAGTGTCAGTGGCCCCGCCAAGTTTTCACCATAGGGGGCGATGGTTGCTATGTATAATCCCAATTGAGTGATTATGCGAGTAACTTTACAAATTTGGCAACTTTGGACCGTGTCGCCGGCACACGACGACGGCCTGCTCTTGCTAACGACATCACGGGATCTTTAACATCCACTGCGTGCTCATACGGTTAACGCATGCCGAAGTAATAACCAGGCCGGCTGCTGGATTCGAACCGCGAAGCTCTGCAAAGAGTGGCGACTACGCTTACCACTGGGCCACGTCACAGCCATGCAACAATTCCTGCGGATGCCTACACTTGACGCACAGAAATAAAACGCGTTCTTATAAACACGTTGACTTTCAGTAATTACGTAGCTTTTGTGTTTTTCTACTTGGTAGTTTGCCATTGGCGGAGTTTACAAACGTTGTACATTAGCTACATAGGCTCCTCAACAATGAAGTCGACTGCTACGAGCGTGGTACCGAATGGCAAGGTAACGTGTCCAGGGACTTGCGCCGTATTAAAAGTGACCGACTCCCCCCAATTGGAAAGCTGTTTTCTCAAAAACCCCACTCGGGAGTCATCTCAGTGCATCATCACTCCCACTGGGATTCATGAATTGGTTGGATATCTGTGGTCGGACGTCAGCAACTGTTGACCTCTGGTGGGAACCGGCCCTGGGCATGCTCCACACAAAGCCATCGGAGCGGCGACACACCTTGATTTCCCGTCTTTTTTTCCTCATCGTTGCCGCAAGCAATTGAATGACTTTGCACAAATCGCTACAAACAAATAGCGAGTGAATATATATGTATGTATGTGTATGACAGAGTGCTTTAGTAAAAGGAGGAAACAATCTGGCAGTTATAAGAACACGTGGTTTTGTCGCTGTGGGGGACAACTCTGTTGAGAACAGTACCAGGGATCCCAATCAGTCGTACAATTGCGAGTCCAATTCCCAGATTGAGCGACTCAGGCCCATCATCATCATCATAATAGTCGTCATAATCATTCTTCTGGGATTGGTGCAATGGGTACCATCTGATGAGGCTGTATGTATGTTCAAATTCTTTGGCACTGTGTTGATCGGAGGTGCGGGGGAAGGACAACAAACTAATCACAAAAAGTAGCTCTAAAGAAATACATTTTCATTCGTGATATTAAAGTGCATGGCTCCAGTGGCTTCCTAATATCAGAAGGAAGAGCGTTCCAGACGGCCGCAGAAGTGCATCTGAAGGCGCCCAATGCAGCGACCATCTTTGTCCGATGGTTAATGCCGGGTTACGAATGGTTAAGAATGGATCACTCTCTCACATTAATCGACCTGTCTGTTAATCTGTTCGTGTTGCTCAGCTCTCTTGATCTCGCCACGCGAATTGCATCCCACTGCCAACCCTGACGCACAGAAACCTTTGCTTCCTCCTTCATAGCCCTTGCGGTTGAACTTTGGAACTCATTACCATCTGCAGTCTTACTAATCTACCGTTGATCGCTCGCCACCTTCCGACCCTATGTTAGCCGGCGGTGATTACATTCGCAGTAGGCTGGAGGTAGTGACGTGCCATAGAGATCGGAGCACTGGGACGTCACCACTGAAGTTCTGGGTTCAAATATGAGCAGCTACCTGCATTCATAGCCGGTTCCTTCAAGTGCAGAAATTTCATGCCCCCTGCCCCGGTCACCAACGATTGTACAAAACGAGATACCACATTGAATTTAGTTTAGCACTTCATTAACTTAAATTACAGCTCTGAGAATAAAAAAAACATAACATTGGTTGTACTGTCATCCAATAGATAAAACTAAAAACCATAAACTTTTTTTTTAAAATTAACCTGGCCACAAATGATAGCCTAATGAAGTGGCTTATCACTTGTACATTTATAGCAGCCACATTCTCTAAACGCACGTTAATTCTAACCTTTGAGATAAAAAGCAGAGAACCCGCAGAAAAATGTATTGCGACCACGGGGAGAACACTCAAACTCCAAATATAGAGGCGTCAGGAGCGGGATCGAACCCACGACCTCCTGCAGACCAGGCGAGGGAATTAACATCTCCCTCCTGCGTAACGCATAGACAGGTCACGTTAAGAATGGCTTTAGATGTTGTTGTTCTCTGCCACACTGATAAGATTCCCCATTCCGTGACACGACGACAATAGTACGATTGGAATAAACCCGGGGTTAAAGTACTTTACATTTGTTTTGTATAGCAATACGTCTTACGGGGTCAAATATTCTACATCAGAAGGAATTCTCACCCTATGGCTAAACAACTACCACAGCAAACTTCCTGTGCAATATACGGGTTAAATACCGAGAGGGAGTGGTGGTGCTATAGTCAGAGTGTCAAACTCACAAGTCAGAACATTGCAAGTCTCCATCTCGGCTGGGCATCAACTGAAGCACATCATCACGTTTCCTCCAGAATCAACATAATGACTACCACTTTGTGGGAAGTCAACAGTGGTTGTCCTTTGAACAGACTTGCCACTGCCATACGAATGTCGAATTTCCACCCCTCATTCACAGTCACCACTGGGGATAGGGCCCCAAACCAATGCTCTTCAGGTAAATGGAGGCAATTTGATTTTGGTTTGAAATGCATGGTACTACTCACTGCCACCTTTCTCTCCCCAGTACTGATGTTTGCACACCGCACCAGGTCCTGGTTTGAGGCTGAGCCAACCTAGGGGAGGCCCAGGACCGGTTCAGATAATTGTCACTAGCGGGAATTCAACTTGGGGCCTCTGGATGAGCGGCACAGTGCGATAACCACTCCAACACTGCGACACAAACGCTCTCAACATACGCGCAAACGAGTCGCGTTGTGCCCATGTTTAAAGCTGTAAAGTATGTGCTAAGCCCGGGCCGCGAGTGACGTACTTGGCACGTAGCCTGCAGACTGCGATGACTTCTGCAGAGGTAGGTCAGGGGGATTTTTTGATTAACAAGGATGTGTTGCACAATGAGCTAAACTTGTCCGCGCAGGTGGCCAGCGGGTCAGAGCATGTGTGCTGCAATTTGTACACGCGTTGACGTCTATGAATAGCCCCTATGCAGAGTAAGATTGCTCAATTAGAGATGAATACACCTCCTTAAGCATGCGTATCAAATACACAGGGCTGCTTCAGCTACGGCTTCAGGTATTATGCGTACAGTGTGTGTGCCCAGAGCTTAATTTCTCAACGAATACATTCAAGGTCACTGTTAGACTGGAGTAGACATGTGACCAGTAGCCACAGCAACATCGACAAGGTATACTGGATGTGGTGTGCCGTGTGCAGAAATAATGTCTGGGTGGCCCACCAAAACAGACCTAGCTGACATAACTCATGGATGTGACATAAGGTAATGCTGTCCATTACTACTACGTAAAGTCACGTAGGTAAAAAGAAAAAAGAAATAATATAAATAATAATATAAATAAAATAATAAATCACGACGTTTTGGAGGCAACGCAAGTCTCCGTCATCAGGTGGGACCGTCACAGCTAAATTTACTGAATCTATTATTATTTTGTTTATTTTTTATTTTTTTATATTTTTACCTACGTGACTTTGCCGAAAAAAACCTAAGAGTATGAATCCTTGCAGTCACGAAAGCTTCAAATCTAGAACTGTCCATTACTGTTTGGCCATAAAAGTGGCCCACTAACAGGACTGTCCCCAAAAGTCTGTCCATGCTGTAAAGAAAATCCTTGTAGCTTATATGGGAATAGAGTATGTGCGAGTGCGTATAGTACAATAATACCCACATGCCCAAGTTAAATTATTTTGTGTATTTAACAAATAATTCCTATTCTATTATTTACTATTCACTATTTTGATCTTTTTCAGAAGCGACCTGGTCACAAATGATAGCGTAACAAAGTGTCGTATTACGTGGAAATTTATAGCAGCCAAATACTCTTAATGTATGTTTCTAAATATGGAGGGAAAAACCAGAGGACCCGGAGAAAAATTCACACGACCACGGGGAGAGAGAACATGCAAACTCAAAATATACAGGCGTCAGGGTCGGAATCGGACCCACGACCTCCTGTATATCAGGCAAGGTAGTAAACATCTCGCCACCGTGGCACCCATAAATTAGTTAATGCACTACACTGTGAACCCGGTGACCCGCGTGGTGATTCCTGGGCATGGCTAACATGGGTCATCACGCGTGAAGTCGGCAGCACGGTTCTGGTCCTTTGATGGCAAAAAAATAACCTCGCGCCCCCGGAACCGCGCCATACTGGCCCGGCCAGCCCGTTCGACGTCGTCTCTCGCTCATCTGCCCGACAGCGACCGAGCAGAACCCGGCCGGGAGTGTAAGCCCGCGGTGCGGACGTACCGACGACGGTGAGCGTGAGCAGCGGGTTCGTGCACAGGCAGGTTCCCTTCAGGTACTGCCAGCAGCCGCGCCGGCCCTGCGACGGAGGCACGTCCAGGTGGCTCTCGTGCATGCGGACCTCCACCTGCTTCGGCATGGTGGCGTTGGTGGCGTTGTTGGCGTTGGTAGCGACGGTGATGGGGGTGTGATCCGGTCTGTCCGCACCTGCATACCGCGGCAAAGACGAGGACAGAGTAACGCGTTAACGTCATCGGACAGTTACAGGGGCCGATAATCCGGCACCGTTATTTGGTTACGCGTTATAAAAAAAACATAAACTGTGTAGGTCTTTTTCAGGAGCGACCTGGCCGCTATTGGTAGCCTAATTAAGTGGCTTATCACGTGGAAATGTATAGCAGCCAAATGCTCTCATCGCATGTTTCTAAATGTGGAGGGGAAACCCGGAGGACCCAGAGAAAAATTCATGCGACCACAGGGAGAACATGCAAACTCCAAATATACAGGCATCAGGGTTGGGATCTAACCAACGACCTCCTGGATACCAGGTGAGATAGTACGCATCTTGCCACCACGGCGCCCCTATATATTCCCCAGGCTCCTCCTGAAGTCACCCACTGGCTCACTCGCCAACCTGGACACCAACATAGAAACATTGCTGATAACCTCCCCGCCACCCAAAGGGAGGAAGAATTCCCATACTCTGTTTTCCTTAGTGTGTCAATACATTCTTATTGTGGACAGCAGAGGGCAGTGCAGAAAAGCACATTGTTGTAGAGTACATCTACGTACCTACATCTATGCCTCCTATGTTCACTAACCCGCGTTGACCAGCGTCAAATAACCCTCATGACATGCACAACGTGGCTGATGCCCTCATCCAGCAAGGGATTGACGAAAGGCCCAGAAAATACGGAACGTTGGGCCAACATTGGGCCAACGTTGGTCAAAAGGTTTCCAACCACGTGTGCACGTTGGCCCAAAGTTGCATGTTTACTGGTGCGGCTGCACGTGTACAAGTAACTGGTGTTTAGCATGTCACGTGGGAAGTCAACTTTGGTGACTGTGGCCAAATGAGCAATGGGGCAGCACTCATCTCCATTGGAGGCCCCTGAGCACGTGGTGGAAATATCCACATTGCCATGGCAGAGACGGCGTATCACAAGGTGACCAAGGCTGGCTCTTTAAAAAAAAGTTGTACAGTACTGTCATTGTATCGACCCTGGAAGAATGATGGGCTGAGTCGACTACCAAGCGAGATTTGGACTCACGACCTTTCAACATAGGCCAGTTCTGACAAAAATCTGTTCTGAAAAGAGGAAATTTAGTCAGAGCTAATTGAGTAATGTGAATTAAAGTTACTTCATAGAAAGAACTTTTAAAAACAAAAGTCTTCAAAAAGGAACGTTTGGTCATTATCTGTATACTAAACAACAGGAAACATTAGTTTTGTCTGCAGAGCATTTGGTTTTAAAATCATAATTACATCAAAATGTCTCCGTCAAAGTGTATCCCTGCTCAAGTGAGCATTGCATTTAGCTCATCTCTATTTGCAGCTCTCGATCAATTGTGGAAACTCCGCAATTTCTATGTTGGGGCCCCAAAATGCAACAATGGTAACATTCCCAAACAGTGGTCGCAATTTCATTGACTCATTGAAGGAATGATGACGATGATGTCACTGAGCCGACCCACAACTGGGATTTGAAGTGGCAACACTTTGATTGCGAGTTGCCCAATCTTTCCAGATCCATCTCCCTCGAGGCCAAGATAAAGAAGTGCGACGCATGGCACCTTAGGCTGCTGCAAGGAGCTCTGCGCTTCGAAATCATACGAAGACAACAGGCGGGAAGGAGGGAGGAGGAAAAAAACGTGGTCGCAGAGCGAATGAACAACCGGTATAAACAACTGGAATTAACAACCAGAAAATCAACAACTTGAAAAACACTATGGGGACCTCATTTGCCAGTAAAAATATGATAATTGGTTCTTTACCCTTCTATCTGGCAACAAAACTGACACCTTTTTGCAAGGAGTCATGTTTGCATAGACCGCAATACCTGCAGTCAACCCATATGAGACTAGGCTCGAAGGAAAGCTGTCTCGGGTGTGGACCAATCAACTTCAAGGACAGTGCACATTATCAGAGTTATGTTCTTTTGTTTGTATTATGACTGCAGGTATTGCGGTCTATGCAAACATGACTCCTTGCAAAAAGGTGTCAGTTTTGTTGCCAGATAGAAGGGTAAAGAACCAATTATCATATTTTTACTGGCAAATGAGGTCCCCATAGTGTAGATGCTTGCCCCGAGCTCTCATACTCTGATGGTGCATTGTCCTTGAGTTGTGCGCCTTTTGGCGTCATCTGGTCCAACCCATATGAGACTAGGCTCGAAGGAAAGCTGTCTCGGGTGTGGACCAATCAACTTCAAGGACAGTGCACATTATCAGAGTTATGTCTTTTGTTTGTATTTATGACTGCAGGTATTGCGGTCTATGCAAACATGACTCCTTGCAAAAAGGTGTCAGTTTTGTTGCCAGATAGAAGGGTAAAGAACCAATTATCAACTTGAAAAACAACAACCGGAAAAACAACCACAATCAACAACGAGAAAATCAACAACTAGAAAAACAACAACCAGAAAATAAACAACCAGAAAAACAACTGAAATCAACAACTAGAAAATCAACAATCAGAAAATCAACAACCAGAAAATCAACAACCGGGGAATCAACAACGGGAATCAACAACCGGGGGCCACACGAGCTGAGACCGCAGAGTCTGTGGATCCGGCCTCGGCAGCCACCTTTGGGCCCACAGCTGAGACAATGGCGACAGACAATCCTTCTGTATTAGCAAAGGGGATTGCCGATTGCTACTAATGAGAAGCAGATATTGAGTGGTAACACTGTAAACTAACCACTGTTGATTTGCACAAAGTGGTAGTTATTATCATCATAAATTAATCTAATACTCGTTTAAGCTCTCAAAACCATAATGTATGGTTGAGGCATCATGGTAAGGTGATGGTGATTGTTGAGGGAGGATTCGAATAGATTTTAAGAGGCTTAATATGAGACCTTTGCCTGACTGAATTACAGTTACAGACTTCATTACAGCGCGTTATATTTAATTCCACGTACACGCATGTTGTCTATTCACCCTGGGAAGCGTTACCGAGTCTCAAGATTTTGTTTCAGGAGGGTTCCTGGCTAGGGAAATTGACCAATTATTTGACTGTTTTTGTTTAATATTGGAGAACACCTAAGCAAACACGGGTATGATGCTCAAACTCCACAACGAAAGGTCTGCAGCCTACTCACAGTACATCATCATATAGTCAATGATCAAGTTAATTTCTTGAATAAGTACAAGTCAGAGCTCAGATGCAAAAATGTGTCCAAGTGTTTCCTTCTGACATCAACAGAACTGATAGAAAAAAATCCTTGACACGCACAGTCCCACTCCAGCCCGACCGTCAAAAGGTCACAGGCTTAAAGTGAAAATGATTGGTTGGCCTTCGACCTTTGAGGGATAAAAATGGGAATGCATGGCATTAACCAACTTCAAAAAGGTCACAACACAGCCCTCTGTGACTCCTTATGATTACAATTTTCGGTCGCCCCGCAGATTAACGTTCTCCCCTCCCTCAGTAAAGCACTTGGGATTTCATTACAGATGACTTTTTCCCCATCCTCTGAGATGAGCTCATCGCGAGCGCATTTGATCGCCACTAAAAACAGATCACTTCATTTCGCACACACCGCAATGGGAATCAATTTTGCGATCTCGACGATTCAACCGCGTGATGTGTCGACGTTGATTTTTTTTTGCGTGGCGCGGCGGCGGTGCTGGGGGTGGGGGGTAGAGAGAGGGCCGGCGAGGTCAGATCGAGGTTCACCGCGAAGCACCTCGATTGGAAAGAAGAGGCCACCGTAATTTGGTTGTAACGTCGATACACGCATGCTTAAGATGGGCTCAGTCAGCTTCGTGAGCCCCCGTAAAGATGAAAAGAGCCAATAAATCATATCTGCAAAGTGGCGACCGAGATAAATATTTCACGTACAACAGCCTGGTGCCGCGCGATTATTTAATAATTTACGTACACTCATCCTTGCCGATGGTGCCATGCATCGCATCGTGGCGTTTTGTAGAATGCGTGTGGTTATTAAATAATCTGCGCATTTGAGCTGCCTTATTTTACATGCGTGGATTTTACCACCGCTGCGCTTCACTCTGCTACTGGAGCCGCTTAATTAGGCGTAATATTATTTTATGGCACCTCGAGACACACGGGAAGGGAATTCAGAACAGTGGTGTGATCCATCAACCCTCGCTGCTTCCACAGTGCTGGATTACAGGCGTACATGTATGTCACCATAGAGTGCAACACTCACTTCTCCTTCTTTAGTACATTTCCAATTGGTGGTTCACCTCGTGTCAGTTATCTGTTCTATTGACTAACGACAGCTCTCAGGAGCAGTGGGACCAGGTTCAAATATTGACGAAAGAGCCGCAACACATTTGCCTTGCCAGTTTGCCCCATCGGTGGCAATGGCAACGTTGGTCCACATCGCGGCAGGTTTAATGCGACTCTGTCCCAGAATGCATTGAAGCAGGTGAGAGAGCAAACAAAAATCTTAACGCATATCCTTACGCAGTCATCGCCGACTGGGCTGTGACCGCCAACTTGGCTTTGCATGCGAACCTCATTTAATCATTGGCTGCCTCGAAACCAAACCAGGAGTTGACAATAACACAGCCAACACGAGCCCACTTATCGAGCAAGCTACCTGAGGATGGTTATTTATTTCCCCTGCTTAAGCTTAAAGATGTATCGAGTGAATAAAACGTTTGATGTGATGTTCTACTTTTTATATAATTAAATAATGCATATCATTCATTTCACATCAGACGAATTAAGCTTTACAGCCTCGTGACAGCAAAGCATATCTGCACAATGTCTTTAGTCAAAGCTTGTCAGAAAACTAAATTTGTAGCATTTGCTCGAGAAGAAAACGAATTAAAATAGGATTTTCTAATGGTAATAATAACATCTCACGGAACTGTCCTGGTAAAATTACACAAGCGATGGGACAAACACGCTTTCTTCCCAACAATCATCATGAATGTTGCCTTGTAACAAAATTGATTATAGGCGGGTGACGTTTGAGGCATTATGGCCCTTCCTCGCAGCTTAAACCAA